GGCTTCGGCGCGCGCCTCCTTCAACTCCACCGCTGGATCCTTGAACTTGTCCTTTCCCTTAGGCGCAGAACCAGACGCCAAAGGACCAACGGCGCGCACTGGAATATCGCGCGAGGCGCGCACGACCTTCTCCTCCACAGAGCGCTCCCCAACAATCTCCACATCCATCTCCGACTCCTCGGATTCTTCTTCATCCTCAACCGCAATAGAGGAAGCGGTTTCCTTTGCAGACTCTGCGATAGGGCGCTTGGGCATTGGTTTGCGCGGGCGCGCCTTAGGCGCATCAGTAAGGTTGCGCTTAGCTAATCCACAGCTGTCAGTGGCGCGCGCCAATGAAAGACAATAGGCGCGACTTACAGAAAGTGCAAGCGCGCTTGGAAACATCACAAGGAGGGCACCGTCGACCAGGCGCGCCTCCACAGTCAATGTCCTTGGCAATGCAGGCGCCACAGCGCCGCGCCTTGGTCACAGACATGCGCCCAACGCGCGGCTAGCGCAACCAAACGCGTTAATAGAGAGGCGCACCAACAGGAAATAGAGAGGCGCACCTTTTTGCTGGCATCAGTACCAGACGCGTCAGTGGCGCGCGCATCGACTTCGGACGCGCCAGTGGCGCGCGCAGCTTGCATGGGAGGCGCCTGAGGAACTGACGCAATCGCCTTCGCCTTCCAATCTTTCACAACCGCCTCAATCTCCTTGCAACTCTTCCGCCCCTGCTTCAACAACTCCGCGCTCTTATCATCCATCTCCAGCGCCACCGCTAACACACCCGCGCGCGTGGAACAGCCGTTCAAGGTTGCCTAGAAATCTTAGGCTACAATAGATCTAGACATGTAAGCGCACTCACCAGCACAGAATACCACTCGCGCAACCACATCTCCTGATCCTCGAGGAGTTCCGCCTTGAGTTCAGGCGCGGACATCACGCATCCTTCCAGGGAAATGAGGATGGAGGCCCAAGCGGTCAAGAGGCGGTCGGTATCGGATTCCGCGCTAGCGTCGTGCATAGGCGCGTCCTCAGGAAGCCCTTGCGCCACTGGAACAGGCTCAGGGGAAGGAGTAGAGTTCAGCATAGCAACGTTGAAAGTAGGCATGATGAAAAACTGATAACAAAGAAGTCAAGAGATCGCGAGAACGCGTCCATCTTCTTATCAACATCTCCTCCGATTACATCATCGATGCTCGCGATCATCAAAGGACGGCCCTACTCTCGCGATCACCTGATCCCTGTCTATCACCACCTCTCTAAGTCCAAGATCCTGCGTTATAGCACTGAGTGGGGACACTCAGAATGTAAGTCCCCAGGAGATGTAGAGACTCGCGCGTCTCAATGACGAATATCCGGCCTTTAACCATACATTCCTATACATTACAGCTCTACTCCTAAGGACCAGTCTCGCGCGCACTCGCGCGCGCCTTATCCGAACTCGCGCGCACTTACGCGCGCCTTACCTACGCACGCGCTATGCGCGCCTCCTCATAGGTCTTCGCGCTATCGTCCGTCCATCCGTCCCATGTCCTTACTGATTCGCTGGTGCGTTATTTCTATCTTATCCATTGAACTAATAAAATCTTCGGTCCGACATCCGCGCTACTTATGGAAAGTTTATTTAAACTTAGTTATAATTAGAGTTGATATGGTTACTCGGTTCGGGAGCGCGCTCGGAAGCGCGCCTTCTCCATTCTTAAATACAGAAGGGTTTCCTTTAGTTCTGGTACTTACTTTTCCCTTATCTTTGTGTACTGGAAAGTGAATAGATCACCTCCCCACTTGTTATCTGATCATATCCTCCTGTCAATCCTCCACCTTTGCACTCACTCCTCAGTAAGATCTTGCCTCTAACGCTTTAGGCGCGCCTTCGCTTCGCGCGCGCGCATTCTCGGACCTCCCGCTCACGCGCGCATCACGCGCGCCTTCGCCTCGCGCACGCGCGCCTTCGCGCGCGTTATCTTCTCGCGCCTATTAGCGCCCGCCTAGCTCACAGAGTTTCCCTCCACTTTATTTCGAGGAACTTCTCTCAGTGGTTGTCCTTTGGGTCGAGTCGTTGTCTCGTATCCCGGTCTTGCTGTTGAGCACCCCTTTTGTTTTAAGTGTTTTCACGTATAGTCAAGATTCCTCATCTACAACGGGAGACGGGAGACGGGAGACGGGAGATGGGAGACGGGAGACGGGAGACGGGAGACGGGAGACGGGAGACGGGAACGGGAAACGGGAAACGGGAAACGGGAAACGGGAAACGGGAAACGGGAAACGGGAAACGGGAAACGGGAAACGGGAAACGGGAAACGGGAAACGGGAAACGGGAAACGGGAAACGGGAAACGGGAAACGGGAAACGGGAAACGGGAAACGGGAAACGGGAAACGGGAAACGGGAAACGGGAGGACATGGGGCACAGTGGGAGATGGGAGGCAGGGAAAAATGGGAAAATGGGAAAATAAATACATTCAATGATACTGTTACATATTTTGTATTTTTACATTTGTCAAAATCCTGCTCAAAGAACATAGGGAAGAGACTGATCTTATGTACTACAAGAGTACCAATCACCTTCAAACATTGTGTGTCTGTATACTATGTTTGCCATAGTCTTCTCCTTGGCCTCTGTAGGAAATAGTGCCTGAATGTCTCTTTGACATTGCACACTCAATAGTGCAGTGTAAAGCTGACTGTGTGTGAACAAATCTGTATGAAGGCCCAGCACAGGCAGGAAAGTCATGGAAATTGGTTCCACAGGATCAAATGTTTCATCCTTACATATTGTAAATGTACTTTTATGTGGTGTGATAGATTGTACTTTGAGTTTTTTCAAAAAAGCTACTCATAAATGTATTTCAAAAGTGTCCAAAATGTACAATTTATTAGGATGCAGCCTGAAGTCAAAAGAGGGTGCAACCCTCCTTGGCTTCCTGTGACGAAGGAACAATGCTCATCAGGAGCCTTCTGAATTATTGGGATGAAGCTGAGGCCAGGGAGCTTAAAAAGAGCGCAAAGCGCTCTTTTTTTGCGACCTGTGCCGAAGGCAGAACGGGTGTGGACTAGTCTAAGAAGTAAAGTACAACGGTTTTCGGAAATGTTCGCGCGCTCGCGTGGCTTTCGCGTATTTCGCATGTTTCGCGTATTTCGCCAAAGGCCATGTGGTTTTCGCTTACCTCGCTTAACCTCGATTTGGAAACTCGCGTGGTTTTCATGTATATTTCGAGCGGCGACTCCAACAACCTCACCCATTGGGAATGTTGCGCAACAACATTGGTAACTGTATGTGTACATGGCATTAAATAATGTGTTTGAGCAGGGGGACAACAGGATTTGAGTGTTTTGCCTACTGCAATTATTAGTAGTGACTGTATATGTACATAAATGGAACAACATATGATACAATTACAGACAGGGAGATAACAAATGTGGTGACAGGAGATAAGATTCAAATAAAAAAAGGAGACAAAGACAATGTAGACTCAAAAACCAGAGAATGTGATGACAGGAAAATGGGGAAATGGGAGAACAGGAGACAGGAGATGGGAGACTGAGAGACGGGAGACGGGAGACGGGAGACGGGAGACGGGAGACAGGAGACAGGAGACAGGAGACAGGAGACAGGAGACAGGAGACAGGAGACAGGAGACAGGAGACAGGAGACAGGAGACAGGAGACAGGAGACAGGAGACAGGAGACGGGAGACGGGAGACAGGAGACGGGAGACGGGAGACAGGAGACGGGAGACGGGAGACGGGAGACGGGAGACGGGAGACAGGAGTAGGAAGTAGGAAGTAGGGAGTAGGAAGTAGGAAGTAGGGAGTAGGGAGTAGGGAGTAGGGATTAGCATGGGTATACCCCATGGTAACACTTTTTCCAATCACATATATTACCATTTGAAGGCAAATGTACAACTTCAAAATTTTATACTTATCCATCACTCCTATGGTAATCAATTTGGGGATATATTCCCAGGGGTACAGGGGTCTTTAGATCCAAACCCCTACCCCTACCCTCAAGTTTCCCATACCCCTGCTGATCCCTAGATGGGAGGCAGGGAAAAATGGGAAAACAAATACATTCAATGATACTGTTACATATTTTGTATTTTTTACATTGGTCAAAATCCTGCTCAAAGAACATAGCACTGACTGATCTTATGTACTATTGTACTTTTGAGTTCTTTGAAAAGCTGCTCATAAATATATTTCAAAATCATTCAAAATGCACAATTTATTAGGATGCAGCCTGAGGCCAGGAAGCCAAAGGAGGGCGTAGCCCTCCTTGGCTTCCTGTGACGAAGGAACAACACTCATTTTTCTCCCCTGAAGGAGCGCGTAGCGCTCCTTCGATTTGTGCCGAAGGCACAACGGGCGTGAGCTCGTATTGAAATATAGCAAGATTCCTTGCAAATTCGTTTCAAGAATACCTCATTGCAACCACTTTAGGAAATTTGCGACACATTGGAGCTCACTGGAGTTTGCAGAAGAAAAAAAGATTCGAAAGGCGGCAGACTGCAGACAGGGCGCCAAAGCTTGCTAGAGTGTTACCTCCCCATGAGCGCTGTGGGGTAGGCGGAGAAGAGAACCCACGTGCGAGTTTGTAGCACCCTGTTGGTTCAAAGACCCCGGGATGTTCGCTTCAAGGAACAGTTGACGGCATCGCCTTCGTGGATAGTATAATATACCTCGACCACGCCTTCTTTCTCTCCTTTTCGGCATTGCACCGTAGGAAATCACAGAACCCTGAACGCATCAGGCAAGAGAAATGCCTGACCTGTGACCTAACCATGAGTCCGGTTTGGAAAGGACGGACTGCGGCAGCACTAGCACTGAAGCCGGCAAATGCCCGACCGGAAGCTCAGCCTATCTAGACGCTACTTAATGTTGTGTACCATGAGTTGATAGCTTGGTCCGACATCAGCGTAAGGTTCGTATTCTAGCGCAAAATCAACTGATTGAGGTTAAGGTGGCACCTTTGGTGTAGACTAATCATCGTTGGCGTTGACGAGCGCCAGAAGGTTGTCTTGTTCGTGGTTAAGAAGTTTTTGCCGCTGCTGTTTCTACTATTGGGCAGGCCGCAGTTGACGAGGTCTCAGTGTCGTCACGTATGTTGCACATTGTTTTCGAGAGCTTGATCAAGTGACCGAAGGGTAATAGCGCCAGTCGATCAAAAGAGAGCCGAAGAGCGATAGCTATAATCAACCCCAGCTCTTATCGCGCGCGCTATACCAGTTCTTGTCACTCACTATATAGGTCCCCGTTCTAGAAAACGTAGGTCAGAGCAGAACTCTGGCTACTCTTCACCGGCACCCCTCAATGGCTCTCTACATTTATGGTACTCAATTCTTGTCGTCAAGTACTATCATCAACACCGCTGAATATATCCAATAGGTGTCACCGTAGATTTCAGCAAGTCGAAGACGAATATAGAATCTGCTGAAGTGCGGATTGGCGAATTACATTCGCTGATTGAATACAAAGCAGGAAAGAGTTTGCGACACGCGTTTTCTTCGCCCATGTAAGTACTCGACCCCAACTCATGTTCTCACCTGACTTGCTTCCTTTAGTGTACTTCCTCACGGGCAATCGTTTTCTTTACGTATACGGCATAAGAGACATTTTCTGAAAATCAAGCATCGTCATGAGGACATTACGTTCAACCCAGATGAAATGTTCCGTGCGTATAATGCAAGTCAACAAGGTGAAACAAGAATCGTTATTCTCGCCTTGATCGCTCGCAGATTCAACCTCACATACACAGAATACACCAAGGTTCATAACGACATCACGATCGTCGTCAAGCTTTCCAGTGATACAACAACTGAAGTAAGGTTCCGCGTCTGGCATCGAGCCCGTCTAAATCGTAGATTACATAGCAGGCTGAGCAGTCTGTCTCCCCCGATCAAAACCTTCAGCCTACTACTTTCGAAATATTCCAGCGCTGTCCTCGGTGAGCCATGATGATCATAAAGTGTCGTTCTTGAGGTTAATACTCGCAAGGTTCCGAATTCTAGTGATAGGAAAGGTAACTGGCTTTCTCCATCCCAGGCTAGTCTTGACGACATGCTTTTAATAGGCTGGCGTTGGCAAGTCATCGCTGATCAGCCAGGCATTTGGAGTAGAAAAAGATGTAGGCTGAACACAACGCTTCAACGAGCACAGATATTCATGCTGTCAATAGATGGTTGCGCACGATAGGCCAGGCCAGGCTGACATCGACCAAGAGCTCATCTCACCTCGGAACAAAAGGTTTGTTCTTCACGATAGCAAAGGCTTTGAACCAGGGGACGAAGACAACTTCAAAATAGTCCGAGATTTCATTGACCGTCGGAGAAACATGACTCAGGAACATCAATTGCATGCTGTTTGGTAAGGATTCTAACTCGACCATTCTGTTATGGTGGACTGACCAAATACATGGAAGGCTTTGCTTTGAGATACCCCGTGCAGGCGGACGTTTGCTAGAGGTTGGAGTGGAGAAATTCTTGGAATCGCAAGATAGTGGAACGCTGAAAAATGGTAAGTGGATTGATAACTATGTCTCTGCTACATCGGAGCTCATGCTTTGACAAAGTTCCCGTTATCGTCGTTCTTACCAAGTACGATATGCTCATCGAACGCATGGAGCGAACTCTAGGTGGAAGCTCTTTGAGCGATGAAGCCCACAAGGCACGCGCGAAGGAGAAGGCAGAAGCCTGGCTGCAGGATACCTGCATTGGACCTCTAGAGCAATTTGCAGAGCTTGATATTCCCAACGCTAAGATCTCTAGTGTGTATCAATACTTCGACAAGTTTATGCGTGCCTCTGACGCATAGTATTACAGCCGAAGAAGGCTATGAAGAGACGCTCACCCACCTGATCCACATAACTGAAAATCGTGTCAGTCAGCACCCTGCGTCCGAGGCCTCAGCGACGACCTCCACCGCTCAGCACTCTGCGCCTGAGGCCGCGGTGATGACCTCTATCGCTCAGCGATTGGATCCTGGACTCAAAATAAAGGCATCAATCGAGTGAGTCTTGCTTGCTTCATTCTTATCTCGTGATTTACGCAGCATCAGAGTTGGCAAGAAAAGTCTGTCCCAGTTTTGCGTTCATGATTACTGAACACTTAATGCCTTGCAGGGTACTGGAAAGCGCTTGCGTCATGCCCAACGTTCAAGAATCGCAAGATGTGGGATTGTCTATATGTGCTTCACACTGACATCGTCAATGTGTGGAACTTCCATGACCCTCATGATGTAATGGGCATCTTATTACCGTTGTTGCACCCGCCCTAACGTAGTTTGTGCATAGTACTTGCACAGTCTAGAGTTCAGGAAATTGATGACGACCATGGTCGATAACATACAGGTTGGACCCACAACTGATCCCACCGACGTCAAGTAGGCTGGTCTTTTACGTGACAGACGAATTCTGATCTCTTTGAATGTTGACAGGTTTTCATTATCCACGGTGAGCGCTATATCCATAGTGGGCGCTATTGCGGGCATCGTGTCCGCCCTGGCGGCACCTGCGGCTCCCATCGTAGTACCGATAGCAGTAGGTGCCGTACTTGCCGCATGGGTTTGGGAGCTATACCAGACATCGTACGCACCAGTATTTCCTGTCGTGTACGAAAGGATATTAACACTTTTCTGTCAGCCACCTGGCGCTTCAGCGCTTCATGGCCTACATCATTCACTTGACACTCGTGTTGCAGACACTTTTTATCGTGTTAGAAGGCCAGCAAATCACTCGTAGGGCAATCAAGCGCGTGGTTGATTCCTACCGCACCTCCGAAATGAGCGGACGAGTTCTTACTTGGATTCAAGATTATGATAAGCAATTGAACATCCTGGAACGCGCGGATCGCGAAATCTTGACTAAGATCACTGAAGTGATGCGAAAGTGCGAGATCGATGGGGCACAACTATCTGAACTTCGGGAAAAAGTTCCTCGTGTGGATTTGTCGTCGGACGAATCATGGTAAATCGAGAAGTCATAGTACTCGGTTGTTTCTTCCCTGGATAGTTTTGCGCGTGGGCGGAGATCTCAGTGCTGACGCGATTGCAAACATTGCTCGCTTGTACTATGTAACTGGATTTATGACCGCAACACTGTAGACTATGATACACTGTTGTATTATTGTAAATTAGGTTTACTAATAGCTACAGCCTGACTTGAAAACTCACGACATTTGTATAGTAACTTAGTAGTAGTCCAAAGCTATAGTCTGATATACGACTAGATATCATATCAGCGAAGAGCCTTTCAATTATCTCGCCGCGCGTTCCATTCCATTGATCATCGTCCGCCTCCTACTCATCATTATTCGCACGCAACATACCTGTCCAATAAATTCAGTTTATCCATCAATCACCCAAACTTTAACGCGAGCGACAACCGGCCATGGGGGCAATCCCAATACCAAAGCCCTCGTCTCCGCCGCCGCCCTAACAAATCATTTCTCAGCTCCTCTAAGGAGCAAACCTGCCCACGGCACCAACAGTCCACATAATCCTCCGCATCCACGGGAGGGTACAAGCACTCCCTACATTCGCCCTCCCAGCATCCACCCGCAGGACTTCACCACGCCGAGTGGTCGGCGCCAATGCCTGCATCCGCGTGGAACGGTCCCGACCTCATAGCAACAGTTAGTAAACATGGGGCTTAACAAGTTCGTGTCACTCAGCTAACACCCGTCAGCATCAACTCGACAACAGGCATCTTCGTGCTTGTCTTTCTCGTCAAATGTTTCAGCGCCCATGGCTGAGGATATCGGCATGCCAGGCAGAAGGGAGGGTTAGACTTACTACCTGCTGCATCCCATAAGGGCTGAGAAGGGAGCAGCAGAGGAAAAAAATGTGGCGTGGACGGGGCGTATTGTTTCGGATGGTACCCACAGCTGGTATGTCTTCTGTCATGCGCCTGTCTCATGCTCTGCTCCCGTGTTCACCTCGTAAGGTAGACTTGACCATCCCTCCATGTCCGGCTTTTTTTTTTTTTTTTTTTTTTTTTTTTTTCCAATTTCTGTCCTATTGAGAGTTATACTCTATGGAGGACAGTTCTATCTAGTCTATGGGACCCCCAGTGTCCCTGCGCATCTCTGAGTTCGCGAATGCCCTAGTGTGAGGCGTGCCTCCACTAGTCCGCCGTTCCCGCCGGCCGTTTTAGACGCGCAACCCGGCGAAGATGAGATGACTGTATGTAGCTAATGCTAATGTTTTTCTAGCGTATGGATGAACGGAAACGCGTACTCGGCCGCCGAAGCGGGCAGGTACAGGAGTCTAGGTTGGGTGCGTAGTTAAAGTTTGTGTATGGTCCCCATGTCTTGGCCGAAGGGATGTTCTGTCACAAGCTGAGTTGTTCCAACGATGATCGGGAGGACTCCGTGTAGGCGAGTTATTGGGTATATGGGTTGGGTTGGGTATATGGGTTGGGGAGAAGTATGGTGAGATGGTTGTTGTACAGTGGGGTATTTGATGTTGATGGGCATTTATATGGTGTCTGGCGTGATGAACAGAGGCGGGTTGCTGCAAGGGTGCGTCAGCTAGCAGGGGTATGTGGAAGTGGGATGTCACCTAGTATCGCTTTCAATCTTCCTGTCGCGTTGATGTATTTTACAATATGAGGGGTGGCGGATGTATCTGTTAGGAGGAAGGATAGGGAGGAGGCTTTGCGCCCTACTTCTGCCCGGAGGGAGTGGCGTTCGCGTGCATAGAACGGACAATCGAGGATTAGGTGATGTACGGTTTCTTCGATGTTTGGGCAGTGAGGGCAATGAGGGCTGTTAGTTTTATTAATGCGGTGAAGATGTTTGTTTAAAGGAGCGTGGCCGGTGCGTAGGAATATATACATGCTTGTGAGGCGTTTGGGAAAGGAGATGGATAGTTTTATAAATGAGCGTTGTAGAATGAGTGGGTCGATTTGGTTGAGTCTGAAGAATCGCGGGGAGTTACGCCAGGAGTGGCTCCATCGTTTGGCTGTGGACTTATGCTGAGCTTGCTGTACGGCCGATATGCTTAAGGGGAGGGCTTTCTTGCGTAGGATTTTGGGTAAGCGATTATTGGGGCTGTTGTTCTCGCGGCTGGTTGCGGCCAGTTTGGCATGCTTATCCACTTCTTCATTGCCATGGACTCCCGAGTGACCCGGAACCCAACGTAGTGTTACGTCAAAGTCGTCGTACTCGCGTGCTATCTTGTGCATTCTGCTGCGGAAGAGATCTGCCAGATATGATCCAGGTCGCGGGTAGAAGCTCTCACCTGCTAGAATTGAGGCTTGGTTGTCGACTGAGATGGAGGCTGGAAAGGTCGGGTCTCGTTCTGTAGCTAGAAGGTGCGCGGCTAATAGTAGTCCTACTTCTTCAGCTTCGAATACGGTATGTTCGTCCTCTTTTCCTAGGTAGTAGCGGAGGGTTCTAGGGATCTGCCCTGCACGAAAAAGAACTGCCGCTGCACCTATTTGACCGTTATGGCCCGAGCCATCGCTATATATCTGTATGAGGTCAGTGAGTTGTTCGTGTTCTTCTATAGCCTCCTTCTTGCTATCTGCGACGTGTGTTTTCCAGCGATTCGTGTTGGAAGGGGGGCGTCGTGCCGGGGTTAGAGTCTCTATGGTATCTGGCGAGATATTGAAGCGGGAGGTGAGTCGGTGGAGGGAGGTGCGATGGGCTGATACGTAGCGTTTAGCTGCTTTGCGGATTGGGATGTGGAGGGGATGGGTGTTTGGTAGGGCGGCTATTCGAAGGGCGGCGCGATGACACGTGTTCTGTAGGAGGAGCGGGATGGGAAGTAGGTTTGCGTGGGCTTCCATTATATCTGTTGCGGTGGTTTTCATAGCCCCAGTGATCGCCATTGCTGCTAGGCGCTGGACCGTTGATAGGCGTTTCGCTACGCCTATGGAGCCTCGTTGGAGGTCGTTTGTGCCTTCGCGATAGACGGGGGAGAACCATAGGTCGGCTGCGTACAGTAGCTTGGGCACAGCTACTGCCAGGTAGAGCTGTCGCATGAGACGTAGCGGTAAGCCTTTAGCGGAGGATGAGAGACGACGTAACTGGAGTACATAGGAAGTTCCTTTCGCGACTGCGTTATCGACTTGCGCTTTCCATCGCAATTCTTGGTCGAGGATTACTCCCAAGAACCGGTGTGTTGAGGATGGGCGTATTACTGTGCCTCTTATCGGCATCTCTGGGCGGTCTTTGCGTCTATTCATTGAAAAATCCATTAACGCAAATTTATTAGTTTCGAATTGGGAGTTGTGAGCTCTCGACCAATCGTAACCGCCTCCTGTTCGTTCGAGCATGTCTGTGAGTATGGCATGGGTCGCAGTGAAGTCCTGCGCTATCGCTATGAAAGCCGTGTCATCTACGAAAGCTAACGTTAGTTCTTTCAGGGCTTCGCGTCCTGCGCGGGGTTTGGCGATGTCAGCTAAGTCAGAACTATAAATTATATACAGGATCATTGACAAGGGGTCTCCTTGCCCTATACCGTTTTTGACGGGGAACCATTCCGAGATGTATCCGTCGAATTTCAACTGTGTCTGGCGTTGGGATAGGACACGCTCTGTAAATAGGACTAGATCAGTTGGGATGCGACGGTTGCGCATGTTGTGGAGTAAGCGCTTTGTTACCGCGTTCGGGAATGCTCCCTCGATGTCGAGGAATAGCACGGATGCCACCTTGTGGGATCTCCAGGCATTTTTGATGGTCTCTTCGAGTAAGTGCAGAGAGTCAGTAGTTGACCGGCCCGGACGGCCTCCAAAGTGCGTGTTGGGCAACAATTGATGGTGTTCGAGGATGTGAGTGAGCTGGTCGGCTACTACTGCCGTTAAGAGTTTGCCGGTGGTGTTGAGTAAGGCTATCGGTCGATACGCCTTGGGGATAGAGTAATTGGCCTTCCCCGGTTTCCGTAGGACCACCGTCGAGAAGCATCGCCAAGGTTGGTAGTAGGTTTGATGCGAGAAGGCTGCGTTAAATAAGTGAAGTAAGTAGGGAGTGAGGGTGTCAGCGCATTCTTTGAAGACTATGTTACATATTCCGTCTGGGCCGGGGGCCTTGTAGCCACTGAGATTGATAATGGCCCGTGTGATCTGTTCGGCCGTGATGGGGGGTAAGGTGTCTATGGGTTCCGGGTATATGAAATCTGGGGGGACCGAATCAGCTACAGGGGGAGGAGGAAAGAACGACTTAGCTAGAATTTGACTTTTCTCCAGGTTGGTGGTTGCTTCGAGGATGGTGCCATCTTGGTTGGTGGATATTAGGGTGGGTACGCGGGTTTTACCTCCGTCTCGAGGCTCCGAGGAGATGTATCGGTTCGCAGTCCACAAGTCGTTACCTTCTATGTCTTCTAACCATTCTAACCAGTGTTGTTTCTTCGTGGCGGTGATTTCGTTGGCGTAGAGGTTCTTGGCTGTCTTGAGTTCGTCGTGGCTGGGGTGAAGGGGGAGGGCTCTCATTTGATAGGCGATCTTGCTGAGGTTCTTGACGTGCGTCCTGAGGTCCGATAAGCGCTTCGTCCACCAACGTTTTGAGTGCGGGCATGGTTTCGAGTATGGGACGCATGTGCTCATGGTGTTTGCTATTGCGTCGGAGAGATGCTTTGCGGCCGCTTGGAACTCTTCTTCGGACGCTAAAGGTTGAGCCGGGACAGCTGATATTAGTTCTGTGAGGCGCTCATTAAAAACTTTCCAGTCTACTCCACGCCAGTTGTGGCGTGGTTCATCCGGTGTTCGCTGAGTCTCGAGTTCTAGTGTCAGTAGGATGGGAATGTGGTCCGTCTTTGGTCCTCGAAGTTCTGGTGCTGTTTCGCATGAAACGATGGCGTCAAGGAGTGATTCGGTGCCGAGTACGTTGTCGGGGCGTGTCCAATTTCCGGTGCTCGTGGATTGCAGGGTTGGCGTGCCGCATGGTAGGAATTGCAACATTCCATGGTCTGCGATTAAATCTATAAGGGGATTAGCGGCTGCATAATTGAACAAATGACGGTTACGGATGTCCTCCCAGAGGGGGTGGTGGCGATTGAAATCGCCGAGCCAAAGCATATGGTCGTTATCGTGGGTCTTGATGGTAGCTATATTATTCTCTAGATATGAATCAAAAGTGGTTAGTGTGTTCTGATGCGTGCCGTCGTTATATAAGTTAAATATAGTACAGCGGCCATACTCTCCTCGTAGCTGGATAGCAACAACATCCGAGGAAGGGAAAGAGATCTGTTTCCATGCGTTCGTGTCGAGTTTGGCGTTAATTAGTATTATGGCCCTCGTCCGTTGTTGAGGGTGGGAGAAGTGTTGGGTGGGATAGATGACGTGCCAGTGATGATTTGCATGCGTGTTTCGCAGAAAGTTGATATATGGTTCCTGGATAGCAATGATATCCCAGTCGGCCATCTTGTTGTTGCTGAGTAGGGAGGATTGTGCCGTGAGGGATGTATTCAAATTCTGCTGCCAGATTCGTAGTCTCTCAGTGTTCGTTGAGTCGTAATTAGACATGGGCTGGTGATTGGGGGGCGCTGGCGGAGTCTTGGGAGGTAGGGATTGAGGTGGTGGTGGCGGTGGAGCCGGAGGCCGATGGAGCCAATGGAGAGGGTGTAGGGGTGGAGAGGTAGTCAAAGTTGATGGGAGGGTATAGGTCATTCATAATTTCATCTGCGGAGGGAGAAGAGCGGGTTAGTGGGTGAGTTTGTGTATTGGCTGGTAGTGGGGGATCGGAAGTGTCGGAAGTGTCGGTGATGTTGAAGTTGAGTGTGGCTTGACGTGTTGCGCGGGGTCCTTTGGCTGGTTGGAGTGGATCTGGGGAGAGACGAGTAGGGGGGGGTGAATTAGGAAGTTTTGGGGGGGCGATGGCGTGTGTCCAGGCGGTTTCCGTGGGGAAGTATGGCATACGATTCTCGGGGAATTTTTCGTCGAGTAGTTCACATCGTCTCTTGAATTCTGGACATTTACGGCTCCAGCTGGCATGGTCGTTGCTGCGGCAGTTTACGCATCGGTTGGTCTTGAAGGCATTGCATTGCATTGTGCGGTGTTGATCTCCGCAGGTTCCACAGGTGTCTGTTGTGTTAGTGCAACTACGCGCGATGTGTCCGTACCTCTGACACTTCGCGCATCTGATGGGTTCTTTCCTGTCTTTCCTAATGGTGATTCGTTCGTTGTCAATGCAGAGGCCGTCGCGAAGGAGGGAATTGGCTGTGCAGGCGTCCACGGCTTGAAGGAGGGCAAAAGCCTTACGTTGCTGGGGTGAGCGGCGGATTGGGGGTTTGATCCATCGAATAGTGGCTAGCGAGTTGGCGAGGAGTGAGTTCTCTTCTTCTAGTCTGCGAAGGAATTGTACGTCTCCTATCTGTAGGTGAATGGGTAAGTATTCTAGGACCAGAGCAAAGGTGCGGGAACGGAACGATACGGCGGATTCAAATTGGCTTTCTAACGATGTACGGTTGATGGGTTCCCGTAGCCATGTGGCCAGGGAGTCAGAGTCTAATTCGATGATGATACCACCGTTGCGGAGCGTGGTGATGGACTTGACGTTTCCCTCTGGGGTGCTATCGTTGCGTATGTTGTTGAGAGCTTTCTTGAGGTATTCTGCTATTTCCTTGCTTGTGGTGTTTGGTGGGAATGGGGGGGCGCCTGGGTTGGGGTCTAGCAGGATTTGTCGAGCTCTGATGGCTGCACGGCCGACGGCTTGATCTACTTTGGGTGGAAGGTGAGTAGCCACAATTGTGCTATAGGAAGGTTGGTTTGGAGCCTGAGACATGGGAGGCGTTGCCATCATTTGGGTGGACAGGTGGTTAACGCGTTCTTGAGTGGTGTCCAGGGATGGGGCTAGAGTGTTAATGGCGTTCTGGCAGTCGTTAACTGATACATATAGGGCGTCTGCTGCTTCTTCTAGTCTTTCTGCTGCTATGGAAATTCCTCCCTCTTGTTCGGTTCGTTCGTCTCTTGCTAGCCGGTGGATTCTTTCGGCCTTGTCTAGGGAGGATGTTAACGTATCTTCTGCCTTCCTTGCCGTTTCCGCTAGTGCTTCTGATGCAGCGTGTAATCCAGCGACTTGAGGGGCGAGGGCTGCAATAGCGTGGTCAACGAGTTTGTTTGTGATGGCTTCCGAGAGAGTGTCCGCTAGTTGTCTTGATGCCGCTTCCGCCATTTCGCAGACAGTATGTTTCTTCAGTAGAAATGCTACCGCCCTGATTGCTGAGATGACTGGGATTGGTGTGGTGGCCGACATTTGTGTGATGTGAAACAAAATAGAGACTAGGTGGGTTAGCGAGTAGGGTTGACCCTCTTGACAAAGTAGTTTAGATGACAGGAACTTCTCTGCGGTGTCAGTGTCCATGACATTATTGGGTACAGCTATGATCTCTTCAGTGGTGGTTTGGGTTCTGGCTGTTCTACGAGTATTAGGGCCTCCGGTCGGAGGTGGACTATTGGCCTTGGGTGGGCCAGTACCAGTGGTGGTGCCCGGTTTACCTGTTGGCATATTAGTTATAGTTCAGGTTATATACTTATGTAGATGATGTTTTTGGTGTTTTCTAGGGTTTTTATGTCGGGAATGGGCTTCCATGTCCGGCTTACGAAGGCAGTCACAGATATTTTAGCATGGCGCGACTGCAAATCGACGCCAACAGCTATTCGATTCCTTGTCAGTATTACTCGACCCCATCGAAAGATCGAGATTTTTGTTCATATCTTAAATTGCACACTGGGATGCTGACACTTGGCGACGTCGGACGTTATCATAACGGCTGTCGGTTGTAGCAAGCTCTCACGGGATTCAGCTCCTTGGACGGATCAGAAAGGCCAGTGTTTTCTTATGGTCCTCTTTAGACGCTCTCTCGTACGTTAATAAGATACGCATGAAAAGGCTACAGGTTACACTGAAGACCATAGCATAAATGATATCTAACGTTGCAAATTTGTCCTTGGACCTAATCCAGAGATCTTGTAAGTCGATTTCTCCTTTGTTCTACGATGGTATCATCTCAGTCCCTCGAAAAGACACATTGAGATTCCAGAGTATGATGCATGCGGTCGATACACTCATTGTTTAGTGAAAACGAGAATGGTGCAGTTTTAACCGTAGGCCCCGGGGATGCAGAGCGCACGTACGATAAACCAGGGTATTACCTTTGACTTCGTAATCCAGGGACATGATAATCTGCACACTGTCCTTCAAGAAACGAAAACTTTCAAGATGCGTCCGCTGTTTGAAATCCATCAGTTTCGAAGGCTATCAACCGCCAACAGCTCAGTCTTGGCCATCAACTGCTGTCACTGATGTTGACAGGGACGTTCCATGGATTTATGATGTAACTCTGAAATGACAGCTGTATTGCTTTTAAAAATATTGACTCAAGTCCAGATAGGCTGTGTGGCGCAAAATGGTACGTAGAACATACCTGACCTCAACGCACTTGAATCGGACAAAGAACGTTTCGCGGGTACATCAAGCCAGGTAGATCCCACCACCATCTCAGCGTGACTCACATGCTTCAAAGAACCGGGAAAGCACTATATTGTGTGAACCATTTCGTACACTTCCATCTCCTGCAACTACCTCAATAGACTTCTCAAGGAACTCACATTCACTGCTAAGAAACCTCTGCTCCACTTCGGAACACCATCTACGTTGTGTTGCATCAAGGTCTTGCTGAAAGACAAGTAGATCAGTGGGATTGCTGCGACAACATGACGGCGAAACATACGCAGGCGATGATTTAACGTGATTTCAATAACAGCATTGATTAACTGCGCCTTCGCCGGAGAGCACGAATAGTCTTTCTCCTTCGCGGAAGTAGCCACCGCTTTTTCATAAGCGTGAACAGTATCACTTACACCTTTCATGACAGCACCTGCATGCGGAGATGACACGTACTGCTCCAGAGCGGCATGAAAAGAGGTATCAGACTCCTGCTTGTCCTCAAGATAGCGCTGCTTGTTGAAAATATAGGAAGAGTGTTCGAAGATGATGACAGCAGCTAAACGGTTAATCATAAGCAGGTTCATCGCAACGCAGCCTCAAAATTCACCGGAAATGAGCTGAACAATATCCTCCAAGGGTGATGAGCCAGAGGCCTGGCAGATGCGCAACATGAGACATGTGTACAAACTGCTACCGATTGGACATACCACAGAGGGTAACTTGGACCGTATCACCGCACAGTGATCGTCGCGAAGCACGTCCTATTAATGGATCAGCATGGCTTGCTCGAACGAGAATCGACACCCTCACATCCTGCGGACGATAGGCAACGACTTGGATCAGCATGGTTCTTGCTCACACGAGGATTGATACACGTACTGCCTGCAAGTAAAGGTCCAAAATTAATGAGAGCAACCTTTGAACTTTCCAATAATCTTACCTGAATATATGGAAACCAGCCGCCTAAGTTCCCTATCATCATCTCATGGCTTTCAGATGCGGTTGTCTCGAGATGTTTTCGGAGTGTGCTGGACAACATCAGTTGCGAACACTTGCGGCAGGCGAATGAAACCATGAATAGTTACCTTTCAATTGCATGTATCATGCAGATCTCCATGTTCGTCGAGACGAACAATCGCTCCAGCAGTTCATCATCCAACGTTCCAGCTGTGCATTCGATCAGTGGCCTTGGATTTGCATCATCTTTGTTCATATCTGATGGATAAACGGTCATCGTGTGTCGGAACTTAACCATAGACCGGCTTACTGGGAAGGCATACGTGACCTCTTGGAGGCCATCGGACATTCTGGAGAAACTTCAATTGTGTTCCATTGGCAAATGTTTCTTCTGCGCGTTTTTGGGCCATTTCTTTAGCGTCTTTCCGAGATCTTCCTTCCTTTTTCAGTTGTGAGTATGCGACGTCGTATAGGGCATCGAACTTTGTGAACAAAACGATCACAGGTACTGAGGATTGTAATTATGCGATCAGTCTAATGTCAATGAGGGTGGGATGCGAAAACTTACTACTTCCTGTGTCGCACTGAGAGAAAAACTTGTTTTCAGCTGCAGTAAACGACCTGCTTGCTTCGTCCATTGGGATGCAGTACCTATGTTGAAACCGTGAGAGAGCGCATGCTGCGATTGACCGATTGCAATTACCATATAACATGGAGTCGTTTTGTTATTTTTGTTTCCTTGGAATGGTCAGCGATAAATGCCTTGACCTTGTCGAATTCAGATTCGCTGCCTGCCTCGAAACCCCGTGGATCGTGGAAAACAAAGCCCGGGTTGCTTTGAAAAACCATTTCATTGTGAATATCATGTAATTCGCGCTGAGAGCACGTCAGTTCATGTCATGGACTAAGAGCACAACTCACCGATTTTGATGCTGCTAAAACTTCAAGGTCGATCTGATGTTGATGGGTCAGTACCCCCTCCTACTAGCAATGTGATGCCCACCTTTTCCCCAGCGCTATCGTATATTTGTGGATTGTCCCGTGTGTTGCAAACTCTCTGTAGGATTGTGGTTTTTCCTGCATTAGCTCTTCCTATAATGAGGATTCGAAAGCGACCGATTTTCTCTCTTATGTTTGAAGGATCCATGGGGAAAGGTAAATGTGACTGAAGTAGAAGTGTTGGAGCAGCCTTATAATCATTGCAGTGTCCGGAAAATGCCCCAACCGTATCTAGTATTGATTGAAGCTGTCCGATTTGAAATTAGTCTGTATCAACACTTCAAAACAGACTCCTATTTATACGTGCAGACTACCACACCTCACTAGGCCTCACTTCCAATCCAATTTCATGAAGCCTGGTGCTGCCTCCGACCCCCACGCCAGAGCGTGACCTCCCGAGGCCCTCCTGCCACTTCCTGCTTTTGCCCAGTTGCAGTGCTTATTTAGCCTTATCCCGTTAATAGCATATGCATAGGACGGAATGTGATTTACCAATACAAACAAATTTAGTGACTAGTAAAAAAGACGACACACAGGATAAAGAGACACGCAGATTTCGAAAAAATTGAAGGAGATGTTTCTACGTTTCGTTAAAGCTCGTTCAGCTTCAAACCGGACGAGATGTCTAAGTCACCATTGCTGTGAAGTGAGTGAGGTGATGTACCGGTACGGGCTCGTGACAATAAATCAGCCGATAAGATACGAGCAATACAATGGTCCATACTGCGGTGGGCAAGACCATGGACGAGTGAAGTTTGGCGTGGTGGAGGGCGCACACAGCCGCATGTACTGATGAGACTTGACCTGAGAGCTAGATGAGCATTGAGCAGGGATGATTTCAGCAAGTTGAATAGGACGTATGAAACAATTTGCTCCCACGTCAACAAAAGCAAACAAGAGTGGAGGGTCCTGGCTCCTACCAAAGCTTACGTTCCTACTATGTTTTAATACATTCACATTTGTGTCAATGACTCGCAATCTTACTGTGGCCAGTACTCAGGCGCTTAGTATATGAGACGGTCTTCACCTTGCCCACTCTTACGGATCCTTCTGACCCAACACAGATATTCCGTCACTTCCGAATGATCAAAATCACTTCGACAGCTGACTCCTCGTGTATGCCTCATGTGGCACGCAGTTACTATACCCATTGCCCACTGAATCTAGATCATTTTCAACTCGGGAAGAATCTACCGAGTTCGCACACCGCAATGATTATAAGGCTACACGAACGCTTCCGAATCTCCGTCACATTTACCTTCCCCCATGGATCCTGCGAAGATAAGAGAGAAAATCGGTCGCTTTCGAATCCTCGTGATAGGAAGAGCTAATGCAGGAAAAACTACCATCCTACAGAGAGTGTGTAACACACGAGAGAATCCAGAAATATATAATAGCGCTGGGAAAAAGGTAGGCATCACAATGCCAGTAGGAGGATGGTAGTGCTGACTGAGCGATGAACTTCAGATCGATGCCACAGTCTTGATGGCTTCAACAGAGGTGTCCTGTACTTTCAATCAACGATAGCCTGAACTGACATGATCTCAGCGCGGATTGCACAACATCAAGAATGAAATGGTGTTTAAAAGTAATCCAGGTTTCATATTTCACGATTCGCGCGGTTTCGAAGCAGGCGGCGAATCCGAATTCGACAAGGTTAAAGCGTTTATTGCAAGCCGTTCTAAGGAAGTCAGATTAAGAAATCAACTTCACGCTATCTGGTAATTGCAGCTGATCAATCGCAACGCGGCCTCACGGTTTGAACACAGGTATTGCATCCCCATGGACGAGGCGAGTAGGTCGTTCACATCAGGTGAAATCAAATTTTTCTCTCAATGCGATACTGGAAGCAGTAAGCTTTCGCATTCGACCGTTGTTGATATTCGACTGATGCACAGAATCACAATCTTCAGTTCCAGTAATAGTACTGTTCACAAAATTTGATGCACTCTACGACGAATCATATGCCCAGCTGAAATCGCAGGGAGCATCGATGGAGGAGGCTGAAGAACGGGCGCCGAAGCACGCAGAAGAATCATTTGCGATTGGCTCACAACTGAAGTTTCTATACCATTCCAAGGAGATTCGACGCCCTCCGAAATGCCACATATGCCTCCCTAGTAAGCTGTTGATCGTCGGCTTATGAGTCTGATACATTCTGACGCTGGTCTATCAGACATGGACAGCGACGATGCAGATTGCGGGCTACTCATCGAACGAACAGCAGGAACACTGGATAATGAAGTGCTTCAGCAATTATTCGTCTCGACTCAGCAGACCAACTTGGAGCTCTGCATGAAATATGCAGTTGAGAAGTAACTACCCATGGTATCATTACCTGCCACAAGCGTTAGCGACTGATATTGGTCAGATCACTTATGAAATGTCTGAACTTTTCTGAGACAACAACATCCGAGGATTATGAGAAGATGGTAGGGCTATCAGCTGTCTGGTTTCCACATATTATTGTAAGATTATCAGAAAGTTTGAAGATTGCTCTCATTTACGTTGCGCGTTTACTTACAGGCAGTACGTGTGTCGATCTTCGTTCGGGCTCGAGCCATGCTGATCAAAGGGTTGCCCGCTGTTCGCAGTATGTGAGTGTGTCGATTCTCGTTCGAGCAAGAGCTATGCTGATCCAACTCGTTGTCCACCGTTCGCAGTATGTGAGTGTGTCGATCCTCGTTCGAGCAAGAGCTATGCTGATCCAAGTCGTTGCCCACTGTTCGCAGGATGTGAGTGTGTCGATCCTCGTTCGAGCAAGAGCCATGCTGATCCAACTCGTTGCCCACAGACTGTGAGTGTATCGATCCCCGTTCGAGCAAGAGCCATGCTGATCGAAGTCGTTGCCCACTGTCTGCAGACTGTGAGTGTGTCGATCCTCGTCCGAGCAAGAGTCATGCTGATCAAAGTCGTTGCCCACTGTTCGCAGGATGTGAGTGTGTCGATCCTAGTTCGAGCAAGAGCCATGCTGATCCAACTCGTTGCCCACTGTCTACAGACTGTGAGTGTATCGATCCCCGTTCGAGCAAGAGCCATGCTGATCGAAGTCGTTGCCCACTGTCTGCAGACTGTGAGTGTGTCGATCCTCGTCCGAGCAAGAGTCATGCTGATCAAAGTCGTTGCCCACTGTTCGCAGGATGTGAGTGTGTCGATCCTCGTCCGCGCAAGAGCCATGCTGATCCAAGTCGTTGCCCACTGTTCGCAGGAAGTGAGTGTGTCGATCATCGTTTGAGCTCGAGTCATGCTGATCGAAGTCGTCACCCACCGTTCGCAGGAAGTGAGTGTGTCGATCCTCGTTCGAGCAAGAGCTATGCTGATCCAACTCGTTGCCCACTGTTCGCAGGATGTGAGTGTGTCGATCCTCGTTCGAGCAAGATCCATGCTGATCGAAGTCGTTGCCCACCGTTCGCAGTATGTGAGTGTGTCGATCCTCGTTCGAGCAAGAGCCATGCTGATCGAAGTCGTCGCCCACCGTTCGCAGCTTGTGCGTGTGTCGATCCTCGTTCGAGCAAGAGCCATGCTGATCCAAGTCGTTGCCCACCGTTCGCAGCTTGTGCGTGTGTCGATCCTCCTTCGAGCAAGAGCCATGCTGATCCAAGTCGTTGCCCACCGTTCGCAGACTGTGAGTGTGTCTGTCCTTGTTCGAGCAAGAGCCATGCTAATCTAAGTCGTTGCTCACCGTCCCGCAGGGTGTGAGTGTGTCGATCCTTGTTCGTGCTCGAGCCATGCTGATTCAAGTCGTTGCCCACCCTTCGCAGGGAGTGAGTGTGTCGATCCTCGTTCGAGCAAGAGCCATGCTGATCCAAGTCGTTGCCCACTGTTTGCAGCGTGTGAGTGTGTCAACCTTCGTTTGAACTCGAGCCATGCTGATCCAAGTTGTTGCCTACCGTTCGTAGATTGTGAGTGTGTCGATCCTCATTGGAGCTCAAGCTATGCTGATCGAAGTTGTTGCCCGCCGTTCGCAGGATGTGAGTGTGTCAGTCCTCATTCGAGTGCGAACCTTCCTCAATGAAGCTATCGGTCATTCGTTGATAGGACGTAAGTGCATTGATCCTTTGTCAAATTTAGCATTCCTGACCAAAGCTATTGATGCTCTATCGGCAGGAGGTCAGTACGTTGACTCTTTACCGACCTTGAGTCACTGACTGAAGAAAACGTTGATCCGTTACCAGCTTGTGAGTTGATCATCTTCTGCCTACCTCCTGTCTTCCTCATTGATGTGATTGGTGAACTGTTATCAGGGTGTGAGCCTACCGATTCTCTGTCGCCCTCGCGTCATACTGACTGAACACATTGCTGCTCCATCAATAGATTGTAAGTTGGTCTATCCATTGTGGAGCTTGAGCCATGCTGACTGAAGACATCGCCCATTCCTTCACAGAATGTAAGCACATCGACCCGCAGTCGAATTGGAGCATTACTGACCTTTCTCATCGATGTCATTGCTCGTTCACTGACAGAATGTCAGTGTGCTCATTCTTCGTCCAGCTCGAGCTTTTCTTATGACTGAAACCATACATCCCTTAACAGCATGTGAGTGTTTTGGTCCGAGGCTTATTCACGGACGACATCGCTGATTGATCAATAGGACGTTGGTCTCTTTATTCTTTCTTGACTTTAAGCCATGCTGACCGAAGATGTGACATATTGGCAGCATGTGAGTGTATCGATCCGCAGCAGAGGTGGACAAATTTCAACTTTCCATCATGATTTGACCAGCTTGATCGGAGTCATCGTGCAGAGATGCGGTCCAGGTTACTCTCTACGGTATGTCCAATTAGTCACAGATTTTACATGCAATTCTGATATTTCCGAATGTGCTAGGCCTCTGACTCATCACCCTTGGAGAACATTGTTCAGCTCTGTTCTGGTGAATTTTGAGGCTGCGTTGCGATGAACCCGCTTATCATTGATCATTTAGCTGTTGTCATTATCTTCGAACACTCTTTCTACATTTTCGACAAGCGACGCCATCTTCGGGACCAGCGAAAGTCTGTTCCCTCTTTTTATGTCGCTCTCGAGCAGTACATGGCATCTCAGCATGCTGCTGCTGTCAAGGAAGGTGTGAGCGCTGCTGTGCAGGCATATGAAGAACGTGTGAGGACTGCTGTCTACACATCTCACGGAAACTTGAATGCTTTTATGGCGAAGTTACCGTTAAAACGCTTGCAGAGGAGGGCAAAAGAATCTTTGTACTCTCAGGCGAAGGCGGAGCTAATGAAGACTATTCTTGAAATCAGTTTAAATCATCCCCTGCGTATGTTTCAACGTCATGTTGTGGCAACAATCTCGCTGATCTACTTGTCTTCAGCGAGACCTTAACGTTGGACAATGCAATACAGCATTCCGGTTCAGATGAGGTGTTTTGGCTGGGAATGTGGGTTCATTGAATGGTCTATTGAGGTGGATTCAGTGTGTGGAATTGTACGAAACAGTTGCATGATCATGCAATATGATGCTTTGTCTGATATGGTGTATACATGTTTGGAGAACGTCGGCCACTGAGACGCAGATCAAGCTGTACGGGTTCATGATCATTCCTTTGATATTTTATCTATCATAGGGATAGAAGTAGCTACACATCCAATTTCCTTTGCCTTCCGTCAAGAACGTTTAGAGGGTGCGAATTACTCCAAAGCGAAACAACCCGTCTGAATACGTGACGTTGGAGTCACTAATCATCGCTGGATAGGTGTAAGCACGCTGGCTTACCTGAGTTCTCATAATCAGTACATATACCGTCGCTGATACTGAAAGCTAAGCTTTCAGTATTTCACCTTTTGGTGTAACGGTTATGCGTGGGTGGCGGGCTGACCATGTTACAATAAGGGGTCCAGTTCAATCAATTCCTAAACGATCCGGAGGACAATACAATCTAGTCTTGGTGCGAAGAAAGATGGTTGCGTCATACCTAATACCAATCATACTTTCAAAGTACTTCTGGCCTTACTGCGGGCCGGGACTTGAAAGTCCTTCCTGCACCAAGTATGCTATCACAACCGGTAGTCTCATTTCCCGTCGACCGGCTGGTTGTCTTTTGCGTGAACGAAACGTTTTGTCCTGAAGCTGCTGCTGATACTAGGGTCTGGGTCGACTGAGGGGCATGAGTGATTTCGGATTCTGTAATGCGGCACGGCGAGAAGGTGGAGCGTTACGCGTTGTTAGCTCCTATGATCTCACATACAACAAGGATTCACTACTCTTCATGCATAAGATCAAGGGAGCTGACAGACGACGCCAAATCGCGTGTCCACTTGGACGTGTTTGATCTGAAAGAAATGAAATGAAATGAATTTTGAATTAGATCATGTTCATACTTGGACGGTCGACATAGTCGGTCAAGGGTATAACAAAATCTCTCACTTTCCCGTATACACTAACCGCCACTAACCGCCCTCCCCAAAAGCCTTGAACCAATCCCTCGTAGCCTCAAATGAAACCCTCGCAGCTTCAACTCCATCGATCCCATGCGACTCTCCAGGAAAGGATAACACCTCTACAGTTCCTTTCTTGGTTTCCTTTTCTGCGCCAGTCCGAACCTCACCTCTCCCCTTGATCGCGTGATAAAAGCCGATTCCCTGCCCCGGAACGACCCTCAAATCATCCTCGCCTATTAATATAAGCACTGGTGCTGTTATATTGTCAACGTGCGCGATTGGGGATGCGGTGAAGAGGGTGTTGTATGTTTTTGGGGTCATTAGCGGGAGTGTAGGTGTGAGTGAAGTGAGGAGGTTGGATGTGGGCGACGTGTAGGAGTCAGAGTCAGAATCGGTGGATGAAACCCCGAATTCAGAATAAACCCAATCAGGAATATCAGTCCCCGCTGCGAATTCGCCTGCTGAGATGACGGGGTTGCGGAGCGATGCTGCGTTGAATAGGGTTGGGTGCTGGCCAATCACTGTATGCGCGTGCGAAAGTCAGCATCAGCGTCATCGAAGTGTGTATGCAGAGTGTGAATGAGAAAAACACATTGTAGAGAAAAGGGGACATACGATGAGCAGCGATAAACCCGCCATGACTTCCCCCCATCACGACCTGTCTTCCTTCCTCTGAAACACCCCTTCTGATCAGTTCCCTGACGCTTTCGGTGACGTCTTCGACGTCCATGCTCCCGCAATGTCCTAGGAGCTTTTGGATGTATGTTTGGCCGAATCCCATGGAGCCTGTGTAGTTGGGAATGTTGAGGGTGTCTGTGGTGTGAGTGAGTCATCTGGCATTGTAGTTTGCAAGGTATGTTTGGTAAGAGAGAGGGACGCACATCCTTCGAGCGCTAATGCGACGATGGCCGAAAAAAATGAAGTCGTCGAGGTCGCATGGGGTCCTCCATGCAGGATAGTGACGCACACTGGTTTCGGGCCACCACAGGTAGAAGCTTTCTTGGATTGGATGAGAAGTGTTTCCACTGGTGCGCGGGCGGTGATGGGTATGATGGATGGCGTTAGGTCGTTCAGGGCTTCTTTGACTGGCAACGAGTGAGCGAGCGAGACGAGCGAGATTTGGATCAGATCTACTCGTAGAAGACAACGACGATTTATCAAGGACTTTCCATTCGAGGGTATCATGTTGATCGAAAGATCCTAATAAGACTTCCCAGGGGGTAGTAGGCGTGCTCCTCGAACAAATAAACTGACTCTTGTTATCAGCAGCGTGTAAAGTCCAGCTGTACAACGGTCCGTCGCCTAATTTCGTCGCGTCTGTGATCTCTCCTGATTGTGTATCGATGAAGAGGACAGTTGTGCGTGAGCGCCATATGGACTGGAGAACGATATATATGCTATCTCCGCGCCGCAGAAATGGGCTGGTTGGCATGTTGTACTCGGTGTAGAGGCCCGGAAAGTTATTTGATGGGGTAGGTTCGAATACGGTGCGTACGAGGACGGTGTTGGTGCCTGTGAGGAGATCGCGGGATTCGAGAGATACGCAGGATGCATGAGGGCCACCTATGGGGTTTGAGAACCAGAAAAGTTTGATGGGCTGGTCGTTGTGGAATAAGACGCGAGGGGATCGGCAGGATCTGTTTTGGGGAGTGAGTCTTGATGCGGATGGGGATCCGAGCGAGTCCTTTGAGAGAGTGAGTTGCCATATGCCCATGGGACGGTTGAAGCATCCTTTTGCGCCGAGGATACGGCCGTCTTTGGTTTGTTCGTGACCGGTTGCAAAAATCGTGTCTTCTGTCGCGAATGTGGCTTGGGCGAATAGGATGGGTGATTCAGTTGTAGGCTGAAGTGCGAAAAGGGTCGAGTCTTGTTTAGCTGCCCTCGTGAAGGAGGGCGATCCAGTCCAGCTGAATAGAAAGATGGTAGGACGTTTCTTTGCGCGACAGGTATCACCAAAGTGGGGTGTGTATCTAAATTTGTTGTACGGATCGTCATCAGTGTTGATGGATGCTTCGGCGGTGTATAAGAGAGAAGTTTCGGAGGGGGAGAAAGAGAGAGAGTATAGGAAATCTGGTATTCCATTAGCTAGCATTCGCATTTTTTTGTTCTGCTCACCATCTGTGAGGAAGGCTTGGTGATAATTCGATACGTCCAATGAAGCTTCTAGTTGGGTGCCAGCCCAGATCTCGACGAATCGTTTGCTATTAGCTACTTCTCTCAGGATCGCTTGACGAGATTTAGAAGGAGATGTCGCGAATGCTTTTATTTCAGAGGAATCATGAGAAGTCGTGCACTGATTGTCGAATGTCTTCGTGAGGTATCGTTTGATGTTTCGGTCGTGGTCGCGGACGGAATATGTGACCCGTGCAACTCGACTATCGCCAATGAAATCAGCGGATACAGGAAGGGAAATTTCAGCTAGCTCGGTGTAGAACGTCGACGAACCGGTATATTGCAGTGACATTGGTGGAGTCACGGACTCACGGCGCAGCTGCTCGCTTCCATTTTCGTAGTAGAGGGCCGAGGCTATGTACTAATTGGGTTTATGAGATACAGCACTCGTTAGTGGCTGCAGGCTTGCAATTACCACTCTTATATATCGATAATGCAGATCACACCGGTCGAAGTTGGCACACGCAGTACCTTCACAAGCCCAGTGTTAACTGATACAGTCATGATGCTCAATGTGCGCTGGTGAAGTTACGCCCGAAACTTTTCCTTTTCACCACGTCCTCGAGAATAAGAAAATTCATGTGTCATGAGATAGAACACTCGGCTGAAGAGCGAGTGACTGCCTCCAGCATGAATATCGACTCCAACCAAACGATGAATACATAAACCAATATACCCCTAGGTTTTGTGTTAAACGTTGAAGGCAATTATACAACCATATAATACTGACACGATCATCAGAATCAATCGAGATTAAAGGTCCTTGACTTGCTCCTCAAGCCAGTTCCATAGCTCCGAGGCCTGCTGTGGATCCCGCCCCTCTGGATGTGTGTTCCCGATGCGCGCCCAAGGAATGAGATACTGTCCAGGATATAAATTCAAGTTTAGTCAGGAGATAAGGGGCTAACCTTTCCGTTAAGATTCGCTCCTTCTGCAGTAGTTCCAGCGTATAACTGCGTGAGCGCGCCAAACGATACATCATGGAATAATATATCCTGCAAAATATCGAACGGTCAGCTTTTGGAAGGTTGAATGATACGTGATAACGTACGCTCATCAGTTTGGAAAAGAAGTCATAATAACGGCTCAGCTCTGTCCTGATACCACCAGGATTGAGTGCTGTCGAGACTATACCCTGGTTGCCATATCGTCCAGCTAGCTCAGCTGCAAATAAGACGTTGCCCTTTTCATACAGGAGTTTAGAAAAGGAGTTGATACGATGAAACAAAGCTTACCATTTTGCTTTGACCGTAGAGATTCATGATGCTCTGCTTTTTCCTGGCGGGAGAGTCCCTGAACGTATTGTAGTTTAGACTACCGAACCAATGGGCATTAGAAGCCGTGTTCACAACGCGCACAGTTCCGGCAGGTGACTGCGCGACACCCGCTAGAAGTGCTGGCATGACAATTTTCGTGAAGTAGAAGTGACCAAGGACATTCGTCCCAAATTGTAGATCATAACCGTCGTCCGTCAACATCTCATTAGGAGGAGTCATTACCCCACTGAGTGATGTGAGAGGACGACGAAACGACAAAGTTAAGCAACACTCACGCATTGTTGAATAGGACGTGCAGTACGGGTTCTCTCCTGAAGGAGTGTCAGTTGTCTTGTTGCTCAAAAATGTGATGCAAGCGTACCGCAGAAACTCTTCTCCAGAAGCCTTGACGGACCTCAAGTTCGCTAAGTTGAGTTGCAAGAAACACGCTTCTTTTCCGGTGCTTTCCTTGAGTTCGCGAATAGCAGCTTCACCCTTGGCCTTGTCGCGACACGCAACATAAACCTTGGCGTTTTTTGTGAGGAGGACCTAACAATAACAACATCAACATGAAGCAAATATTTGAAAAACGTCGATGGGAGACAGACTCTGGCGGTCTCCTTGCCTATCCCTGTATTAGCACCGGTGACGAGAACAACCTTTCCGGACATGTCTGGGACGTCAGACGCATGAAACTTCGTCGAGGGAGGAAAAATCTCGCGAATGTACGCTGACCAGATGTGACCCATGATGAACGAAGGATTTTCGAAAAGTGGTGGAATTCAAGGAAAGTGAAGCTTTGAATACGGTGACTGTCGTGTTCATGCAAGCCTTTAAGACGCGTACGCAGTGCCGAGACTGTTCCCATATGCGGCACTCCTGTAACAGAAAGCAGCATCAAAGTGGCCCGGGCGTGGATTACATGAATAATTTTATACTCACTACGTCACGCTCATAATGTCATTGGGTAGTACTTAACCGGGGCCGATCTCACAATCATTGACAATTCATGTCGATAATAGCAATGCCGAACTATCATTCGACAATGGCGCGATATCGATCATCGGGTCCGGAGGTGCAAGATCTAACCGAAGTACAAGGAACTTAGAAATGCAGATGGTCGTCAGAGCTAGCTAGCGGCATTCAAACGGCGTCGGAAGGCTGACCAAAAGAGGATTCTAAATCACATGCAGTCAACACAATGTCAAAAATGCTTACATAATACTTGTGCAACAAAGTGCGGTAACAGGTCGGCTGTAGGTGAAGTCGTGCAGCAGGCCACGCAGACAGGTGAGAGCGTTCAGGTTGATGCCGCGTAGCCTATGTCGGGGTTCCTCCGTTCAATGAATCAAGGTCATGGTTGTGCCATTTGTGAGAACGCCAGCTGGTGAAGTTCGTTGTCATTCATTTGAACATGACAGCTTTGATATCATGTACTGTGTTGAGACGTTGAAGGCAATTATACAACCATATGATACTGACACGATCATAAGAATCAATCGAAACTAAATGTCCTTGACTTGTTCCTCAAGCCAGTTCCATAGCTCTGAAGCCTGCTGTGGATCCTGCCCCTCCGGATGTGTGTTCCCGATGCGCGCCCATGGAACAAGATACTGGCCAGGATGTAAGTTCGAGTTCAGTCAGGAGAAAAAGGTCTGACCTTTCCGTTGAGACTCGCTCCTTCTGCAGTGGTTCCAGCGTACAACTGCGTGAGTGGCCCAAATGATATATCATGGAAGAACAGGTTCTGCAAATATCAACCGGTTAGCTTTTGGAAGGTTGGATGATACATGATAACGCACGCCTATCATTTTGGAAAAGGAATCATAATGGCGGCTAAGCTCCGTCCTGATACCACCAGGGTTGAGTGCTGTCGAGACTATACCCTGGTCGCCATATCGTCTAGCTAGTTCAGCCGCAAATAAGACGTTGCCCTTTTCACACAGGAGTTTAGAAAAGAGGTTGATACAATAGAAATAAAACTTACCATTTTGCTTTGGCCATAGAGACCCATCGCGCTCTTCTGTTTCCTGGCGGGAGAATCCTTGAACGTGTTGTAGTCCAGACTACCGAACCAATGGGCGTTAGAAGCCGTGTTCACGATGCGTACAGTTCCGGCAGGTGACTGCGCGGCACCCGCTAGAAGTGCAGGCATAACAATTTTTGTGAAGTAGAAGTGACCAAGGACATTCGTCCCAAATTGCAGATCATAACCGTCGTCCGTCAACATCTCCATAGGAGGTGTCATTACCCCACTGAGCGATACGTGAGACGACGAGACTAAAATTTAAGCAACACTCACGCATTGTTGAATAGAACGTGCAGTACCGGTTCTCTCCTGAAAGAGTATCAGTTACCTTGTTGCTCAACAAATATAACGCAAGCGTACCGTAAGAACTCTTCTCCAGAAGCCTTGACGGACCTCAAGTTCGCTAAGTTGAGTTGCAAGAAAAACGCTTCTTTTCCGGTGCTCTCCTTGAGTTCGCGAATAGCAGCTTCACCCTTGGCCTTGTCGCGACAAGCAACATAGACCTTGGCGTTTTTTGTGAGGAGGATCTAACAATGAAAACATCAACATGAAGCAAATAATTGAAATATGATGAAAGACAGACTCTGGCAGTCTCTTTGCCTATCCCTGCATTGGCACCGGTGACGAGAACAACCTTTCCGGACATGTCTGGGACATCAGACGCGTGAAACTTCGTTGAGGGAGGGAAACTCTCGCGAATGTACGCTGACCAGATGTGACCCATGATGAACGAAGGATGGTTGAGAAGTGACCTAAGGTGGTGGCTTTGGAATTCAAGGGAGGTGAAGGTTGGAATAGGGTGACTGTCGTGAATGGGAGGCTTTTATACGCGTATGCAGGGTAGCCGAAACTGTTCGCGTACGCGGCATTAATTGACTCCTATAACAGAGGTAAAGTGGCGCGGATTACGTACACAACGTCATGCTCATAATGTCATTGAGGCCGGGGACATGCCACAATTGTTTGGCATTGCTGTATGCTAAACTACCGTCGATGATAGTACAATATCTATGGGTCCGGAGGTGCATGACTTAGTCCAACTACAAGCAACTTAGAAATGCTAATAGGGCTTAGGCCACGTCAGCGTTCGAACGCGTCGGAAGGCTAACCCAATGAGGATCGCGAATCACGCGTAGTCAGCACAATGACAAAAAATGTTACTAATTTACATAACATACTACGAAACAGAAGGCGGCGGTATTATGATGTGACTCGACGCCGGCGCTTCCCCTTATAACGGACGTGCATGCGCGTCGCATAGACATGCAGGAGCTCGCCAGCCTTCTATCATCGAACCCAAATCACATATAATCGTCATGGTAGTCGACTGCACCACGAGAGACTATCTGTTGAACTCCCAAACTCTTCCTTATCGAGTATTGTTTTCGTAAGACATACATCTATCATGCCCGCTCGCCGCAGATTGACCTCCGTCGGATGTTGCACATCTTCCAGGACTTCGTTGATAGAGGTCGAACGGTGACCCAACCACAAGAGTTGCAGCACGCCTATGTTTGGGATAGCAGCCTGACTGTCGTGCGATGGATCGAATGCTCGGGTCATATGCAGCGCCAGTCCCAACATGATCACAGATGCAGACGCCGCGAAAGCCAACTAGAGCCATTTTCGATAAGTAGTCAGCGCATAGATACCACCACGAACTCACAGGAAGAAGGTTAATCTACAATGCTCCATCAGTCATTGAAAACCAGCATCTGTGCAGTTCACTTACATTGAGGCGTAGGGCGATGAATTCCTCGTTAACATAGGCCGTCCCGTTGCCAAGGGTCAATTCCTCCATTGGCTGCACCCATTTGTCCCGCTAAGCATGTGACATGGAGTGAGCGAGAACCTCAAAAAACTTCAAACGTATCCCTTACCTAGCCAGATGAGTTGTGCAGCTGATCTCGCAACAGCAAATTCTAGTTCATCCGGTCTCAACGTGAAATTGGAAATCGGAGGAGCACCGTCTCCGAATTGTGTATGTTCCTCAGTGAGATTCAGGCTTATCAATGACATAATATACCTAGAAGTCAAGCCATACGTGAGACATCTTAACAACGCAGTCAAAGTTTTTGGCCTACTCGTCCGCAACAGAGAGTTCAGTGATTTGTGAAGGTGTACCATCAAATATAATCCCGCTGCTGCTATCCGGGGTAGCCAAAGCACTGCCGATCTAAAATTGACAGTATGTCATTGAGCTCAAAGTTAGCCCCGTATAACGTACCTGTGTTTGCCAACTAGTATTCGACCACCCGAATTGATACATTTCCCATTGCGTGGATGGCTGCGATATGAACGTAGGACTCAGTAGGCTGTTAGTTTGCATGTCGACCACCCCATCTGTAGTGTTCGCTGACAGCGAGCAATATACGAAATAGACCTGGATGACGTATGTAGTCCCAATGTCAGGGATAGCTGCAGAACGTATTGTTATCATGACCGTATTACAAGTAAGTAAACGTACCCCAAGTCGTGTTTACAGCAACCTCATCCTGTACTGAAGGGTCGATCCCCAATAATGTGGAGACCATGAGATAGACACCAGGAAGCTACATTCAAATCGTTACTCAACTTCTATAGTGGGCGTGAACTAAGAGAACGCTTACCTTCGAGACGCCACCGTAAGAATCTTCATATTCCATCCATGGAATTATATGTATCTGATCCGACCCTGTAGACATTCTCAGCGTGATAAAACATTGCCGCAATCACAACCACTGACAGAGAGTGCTCGCATTAAGCACGCGAGTAGCAACTGGGCCAAACGGAACGATCGCTGTGCTGGTATTCGCGGAGTATGTTACATTTGGAACCAATCCGCAACTCGAGGTTACCGTCGTTGCGTTCACAGTCGCATTCCCTGATATAGCGGTTGTTTTGAGGGTGTCGTAGAGTGTGGTATTGGACAACCCTGCAGACACGAGTCCAGTCAAATGATTGACAACTGGGAGGGATGTGGTAATGGGTCCCAGGTCTGTTAAATAGTTATACGACGAATCGTCTAGCCATCCTAGTGTTGTGGGCACCGAAGTCGTCATAGAAGCGTTGAAGGTTTGGAATTGTAGGAGAGTAGAAGAGGTGACATGCAGCACGGTTATGCTCGCGAGGTAGGCTGCGACAGCAGAAGTCGTCCACCATGAAGCGGGGATGTCAGTTTGTCGCCAGACACTAGTGAGTGCAGAACCGAGACCCGCCCATGCGCCAGAGATGTCATGAACGGCCGTCAGTTTTACACGGCGTACAAGTGTTCTCGAAATCGCAAGCCGTTGGGTAAGGAAGAGCAGAACAGCCGTATATATCTGGATCATGTCATGTCATCGGTGTATCGTTTGGACACTGTGGATACGTACAGTATAAAACGCTTGCAGCGAAGCACTGAGCACCACGGGCCAGAAATCGTTGTTTGTTGGTGTGAAAGCGAAAGTTACATGGTGTTCCCAGTGACGGACATAGAAGAAAAGAAGGACGATGTGGATCATGACCAGCATGCCATGCATGATGTAACATGCGCGTGGTGCAAACAATCCATTGTGCGCGTTGTTTGAAGCATTTGTCGAATGGGCCTTCCAGTCCGCTGAGGGGGAGAGTGTATTTGTCGGCACGCAACAGCAAGCATTCGGTCGACACGATACACAAGTCTTTGACATACCAAGTATCAGCGATGTGGTAAGTGAGTGCAGATTTTAAACAGGTAGTAGTCAACTAGTCGGTCTCCCTGAAAGTGGCCTTCAGACCTTGATAGAAGGAAGTCAGTCATTCCTTAGATTTTCCTCTTTATATCGGTGAAGGCATGGTTCGAACTTTCAAGTGAGGGCCCATCAAAATGCTGTGCACGTTACGGATTTGTCGCTTTTTGTTATACCGTATTGTTTACTACAAGGCCACGTAGGCTAAATAATGATGCGGCATCACTTGCCAACTCAGTGATATCGATATGCATCCCTACACGACGTACATCAATCAGCCTGCGTATCTGAGAGACTTGTATGCAATTAACTATCACAATTGGCGAGGCACTCCTGCTTCTCGACCGCTATACAATGTCGGTAGGCCGCCTTCCAACTTCATTGCATCCGAGATTCAAATGCCACGAAAAGTCATGTGATCCACGTGTATATATCTTAAGCGACCATTCTTACCTCTCGTCGGGCCCACGATCAGCACACGCAGTACTCATACAATGTCAATCACGTCAAGTCATACAGGTTTATGGCTGTTCCACGCGCGAAGAGCACTCCTCAACAACACCTTGAGTTCTTCGCTGTGACGCAGTGAATATACTAGGAATCTATTGTGTGCTGGCGGAGGATCATGGCAACTTCAACCACACGGTTTGCTCCACCCCAACCGTATGCTCTACTTCATACATATGACAGGCAGGTTGAAATGGTGTATTTCTCCGAGATTACCCTGAGCAATTGGGCTTGTCACGGTAGAAGCAAATTAATGGGCCAAACATAATGTTTCAGGTCTAACGACACGTACAACGAAGCCTTATCATTTGCCAGCTTAGTGACAGAAAAATGTCAGCGCTCAGCCGGCCACGTTAATTAAACCATCGAATACGTATTCCATTGTCTTGGTTAATGTCGATCTCATTATATGTAAGTACTCGAGAAATCATCGTGAGTACCAACCCAGTTTGTGTTGCGCACTGACGATGAAGTTCGTCACTCTGCTTGTGTTTCCCTTCGCGGCTGCTCTCGCTAGCACTGTACCCTTCAAGGGCTGCCAGCAAAAGGTGAAAGAGAGTATCCACGGCCCACCCCGCGGGTGGTACAAGCATGCTCCCGCACCAAAGCACCACATGCTCGAGCTCAAGATCGCTCTTTCTCAGCCCAGGTTTCCGGAACTTGAGCAGCACCTCTGGGAGATAAGCGATCCTAGCCACGCACGTTACGGGGCGTACTTGTCGAAGCAGGAGACTGAGACACTCATGGCCCCCCACCCTGAGACTCTGGCCGTCGTCAGTGAATGGCTTACCTTACACGGTCTGGCAGAAGAAGAAGTTATCCATTCATCCGCACGTGATTGGGTCACTATTCGTGTCCCGGTCGGTCTCGCAGAAGAGATGCTGGATACTGTGAGCGAAGCAATGCCATCTTCGGAGATTACAATGCATTGACAGTTTGTTTCTAGACATACCATGTTTATAAACACGCTGAGACTGGAGAAATCATCCTCAGGACTACGAGCTACAGTCTCCCTGACATCTTGCACCATCATGTTGATCTTATTCAGCCTACGACCATGTTCGCTCGTTTCAAGGCATTCAAGAGCACACTGCACTGGAATAACCAGGCACAGCCTGCGGCGCCATGCCCGCCGGGCGAAACAATCACGGGGCCTGCAGGCAATCCCGTCGATGCGAGCTGCAACTCTACGATTACCCTTTCTTGCTTGAGACAGTTGTATAATGCAGAGAACTATAAAACAACCGCCACAAACTGCAACAAGCTAGGTATCACTGGTTATCTTGACCAGTATGCAAATAATAAGGACCTTCAGCAATTCTACCTGGCCCAAAATCCTTCCGCTTGTGGTTCGAATTACACTTTGATTTCTATTCATGGTGGGTTGCAGTCCGAACTTTGTCAATATTATCTTGTTCATTTGCTTCACAGGCGGAAAGAACAACCAGAGCTATGAGGCGGCAGGTGATGAAGCCAACCTTGATACTCAGTTTGGTTTCGGACTCGTGTGGCCCACTCCCGGAACGTTCTACACGACTGCTGGTCAGCCTCCTTACATCCCCGACCTGGTGGACCCGACGAATCTAAATGAGCCATACACATACGTGCGTTCAAACCATCACGATGGCGGTTTACTGTATTAATGACTACGATCTTCAGTGGCTTGAACACTTACTTTCACAGAATGATATTCCTCAGACAATCTCTACCAGTTACGGTGATAATGAACAAACTGTCCCGTACACCTATGCGACCCGTGTTTGCGCTGGTATGGCGTCTCTCAGTGCTCGCGGTGTTTCTTTGTTGTTCTCCTCTGGTGATGGTGGTGTTGGTGATGGCAATCCCGACCCTGCCACTCAATTATGTAAATCCAATGATGGGCGCAATGTTACAAAATTCCTACCGGTATTCCCCGCTTCCTGCCCATAGTGAGTGGTACTTCTAATCAAGGAGTACAGCAACTAATTTGGACCACAGCGTGACTGCTGTTGGTGGTACTGTCAACATCCCAGAGACTGCCGCGTCTTTGTCTGGTGGTGGATTCAGCGACTATGTAAGTAATCTCTGCCCCACATGAAAACCTTCTGACCCATACATTACAATGTATAAGTTTGCTCGTCCTGCGTACCAGGAGGCTGCTGTCTCTGAATACTTAGCGATGCTCGCTCCCGGTACGTTCAAAGGTCTCTATAACTCGTAAGTCACCACAAGCTGGCGAAAGCACAATGCACAATTGACTCGTCATCTCTAGGACCGGACGTGTATGTTACCTCCTTAATTTGCAAAAATCTTATGGAACCCGTTTTTCTAGGCATATCCCGACGTGGCAGCACAAGCAGAATCCTTCTCTATCATTTATCAAGGTCAGGAGAATTCAGCCACTGGTACATCCTGTGCTTCCCCCGCCTTTGCCGGATTTGTATCCATGTTGAACGACGCACGCATCAATGCTGGAAAGACTCCTCTTGGCTTTTTGAATCCATTGTTATATTCCACTGGCTACACTGCATTAAATGACATCACCCAAGGGAACAACCCAGGATGTGGAACTCTGGGCTTCAATGTAGGTCATGTCTGCACGCCTTCAGATCACATTGCTGATGTGATACCTGTATACAGGCCACTGTTGGATGGGATCCTGGTAAGCTCATGAAGGCAAATAGAGTTATGATGTGTCTACATGCTGATCATACCTGTAGTCACTGGACACGGCACACCCAACTTCGAAAAATTGAAGGCCTTGGTTTTGGCCTTGCCTTAAGTTAATCTACACGAAATCCATTTTGGTAGACAGGATCTACGATGGATGTACGTGCATCGTATACATCCACTCCTTCACTCCTGCAAGGTTTTCACCGAACAGTTTTATATGTGCGAGCAAAATTATGTACTGAGCGGTTCAAGGTAGTAACTCGGACCGGCGCTGCATAGTGGACAACAAAATAAGGACATGGGGAGCGGGAAAGTGATGATGTTTTAATCTTTCATCTCCGCATTCTTCTTGAGGTCTTCCAAAGTATTCGCACAGAACAACCACTTCCGAAAGAGCGCAAAAGTACAGTGATACATAGGCTCATCAGAGCGTCTAATCCCTTATTCCGGCGTCCGCGCGATCTATCACCACGATCTACACAAGTCAGTATTTCCAACAACCCTGATTCCACTCGCAGGTAGGCTGTGTCACTCGTATTACAATAATAACATGTATGGCTCATATCAGCATAGCGTTTTCTGCCCTGGCGACCCATAAGCCCCGATACTATAGGTCACAAGACCCTAGTACGCCAGGCCACAGACTCTACAGACGCTGTACAAGTCAGGAGGAGGTGCAGTTGGACCTACCATTAGTAAGTAGATGGGCTGATCGTGAGGAGTTCAGTAAGGGACGGGAGAGCGATAGTGACAAACACTTTTAAAACACTAACAAGACAACGATGAGGAAGGATGGAGACCAGAACAAAAACTCATCTACATGCCAACTTGAAACGCGACGATATGTAGCTGAGAAGAGGTGTAAATCAGTGTGCATCCTAACTACTATCGTGCGCTCAAGTTAGACAGACAATAATCTCCGCCAGATGGGGCAGGGATGTCTCAGCATGTGGGTCATGTATGAGCCTAGTACTCAGATCGGAGCGCATGTCATTTGCAATGGACAAAGGGAATTTGAGGGACAGACAGATGGGCCCGCGTGTGAGAATCTTGGAGCTCGAATGCATCTACCAGTTAGACATGTGTAAAAAAATCAAACTCGACGACAATCAATAAAAAGCAAGCCAGCGTCATCCATATGATAATGATATCTGCGACACACCTAGTAGTCGTCCTTGAAGAGAGCATCTAAATTAAGAAACAATACTAAAAAAACAAAAACAACCATAATGCGGACCTCTGCACCAGAGAAATACAAAACATATGTATAAATAAGCAGCAGCCTACCAGTCTCAAATTCGAATCACATCTCCTCATCACGACGGTAGTCAACATCACAAGAGAGACTATCGCTAGCAGTTGAGCTCCCAAATTCTCCTTCGTTGGGCATTATATTCGAAAAACAAACATCTATCATGCCTGCTCGACGCAGATTGGCCTCTGTCGGATCTTGCACATCTTCCAGGACTTCATTGATAGAGGCTGAACGGTGACCCAACCACAAGAGTTGCAGCACACCTATGTTTGAAACAACAGCCTGACTGTCGTGCGATGCATTGAATGCTCGGGTCATATGCAGCGCCAGTCCCAACATGATCACAGACGCAGACGCCGCGAAAGCCAACTAAACCATTTTCAATAAATACTCGGCGCATAGATACCACTACGAACTCACAGGAAGAAGGTTAATCTACAATGCGTCATCAGTCATTGAAAATCAGCATCCGTGCAGTTCACTTACATTGAGGCGTAGGGCAATGAACTCCTCGTTAACATAGGCTGTCCCGTTGCCAGGGTCAATTCCTCCATTGGCCGCACCCATTTGTCCCGCTAAGCATGTGACACAGAGTGAGCGAGAACCTCAAAAAACTTCAAACGTATCCCTTACCTAGCCAGATGAGTTGTGCAGCAGATCTCGCAACAGCAAATTCTAGTTCATCCGGTCTCAACGTGAAATTGGAAATCGGAGGAGAACCGTCTCGGAATTGTGTATATTCCTCGGTGAGATTCAAGCCTATCAACGACATGATATACCTAAAAGTCAAGCCGCACGTGAGACATTTTAACAGCGCAGTCAAAGTTTTTGGCCTACTCGTCCGCAACAGAGAGTTCAGTGATTTGTGAAGGTGTACCATCAAATATAATCCCGCTGCTGCTATCCGGGGTAGCCAAAGCACTGCCGATCTAAAATTGACAGTATGTCATTGAGCTCGAAGTGAGCGCCGTATAACGCACCTGTGTTTGCCAACTAGTATTCGACCACCCGAATTGGTACATTCCCCATTGCGTGGATGGCTGCGATATGGACGTAGGACCCAGTAGGCTGTTAGTTTGCATGTCGACCACCCCATCTGTCGTGTTCGCTGACAGCGAGCAATACACAAAATAGGCCTGGATGACGTATGGAGTGACAACGCCAGAGATAGCTGCAGAACGTATTGTTATTATGACTGTGGTGCAAATAAGCAAACGTACCCCAAGTCATGTTTATAGCGACCTCATCTTGTACTGAAGGGTCAATCTCCAATAATGTGGAGACCATAAGATAGACACCAGCAAGCTAGAGTCAAATCGTTATTCAACTTCTATAGTAGGCGCGAACTAAGAGAACGCTTACCTTCGAGACGTTAACATAAGAATCTTCATATTCCGTCCATGGAATTATATGTATCTGATCCGACCCTGTAGACATTCTCAGCGTGATAAAACATTGCCGCAATCACAACCACTGACAGAGAGTGCTCGCATTAAGCACGCGAGTAGCAACTGGGCCAAACGGAACGATAGCTGTGCTGGTATTCGCAGAGTATGTCACATTTGGAACCAATCCGCAACTCGAGGTTACCGTCGTCGCGTTCACAGTCGCATTCCCTGCTATAGCGGTTGTTGTAAGGGTGTCGTAGAGTGTGGTATTATATAATCCTGCAGACACGAGTCCAGTCAAATGATTGACAACTTGTAGGGATGTAGTAATGGGGCCCAGGTATGTGGAGGAGCCATATGAGGAATCGTCTAGCCATCCTAGTGTTGTGGGCACCGAAGTCGTCATAGAAGCGTTGAAGGTTTGGAATTGTAGGAGAGTAGAAGAGGTGACATGCAGCACAGTTATGCTCGCGAGGTAGGCTGCGACAGCAGAAGTCGTCCACCATGAAGCGGGGATGTCAGTTTGTCGCCAGACACTAGTGAGTGCAGAACCGAGACCCGCCCATGCACCAGAGATATCATGAACGGCAGTTAGTTTCACACGGCGTACGAGTGTTCTCGAAATCGCAAGCCGTTGGGTAAGGAAGAGTAGAACAGCCGTGTATATCTGGACCAAGCCATATCATTGTTGTATTGCTAGGATACTACCGGTGGACACTGGATACGTACGGTATAAAACGCTTGCAGTGAAGCACTAAGCACCACGGGCCAGAAATCGTTGTTTGTTGGTGTGAACGAGAAAGTTACATGGTGTTCCCAGTGATGGACATAGAATAAAAGAAGGACAATGTGGATCAGGACCAGCACACCATGCAGGATGTAACATGCGCGCGGAGCAAACAATCCATTGTGCGTGTTTTTTGAAGCATTCTTGAAGTTCCGGTTCGCAGAGGGGGGATCAGATGTACTAGTTGTCGCCACGCAATAGCGAGGATTCAATCGACACGATACACAAGTCCTCGACATGCCAAGTATCAATGGCGCAAGTGAGAAATGCAGATGTTAAACAAGTAATAAGGTGGACTTGGTGAACTAGCTGGTCTGGGTCCTGGAGGCAGCTCTTGAGCTGAGACCTTGATAGAAGGAGATCGGTCATTCCTTCTTTATATCCGAGGGCATTCCACATGTTCATCAAGGCTGGAGTCACTGCCATCGTGGTGAGAACGGGGTTAGATTTTTGCATCAGCTTCTATTAGATTGATTCAGAAGAAATGATTGGTCGATACAATGCCACAGCATCGAAACATAAATCAAACAGAAGAGTTCCAGGACCTAGTAGAAGCCTGGATAACGCGCAAGGGTTGAACTCACATCGGGGTGAACGATATTTAAAAGAGGTTTATATGTTGTACAAAATGTGAAGACAATATTTAATATTTAAACTAACATAAAGATGGGTGCACGACTTCAAATTTTGGTGGTGTTTTGTGTGTAATCCAAAATATCAAATATTCACAACCATATTCCCACAGACAATATGTCAACAAACATAAGAAATATAGTCAGATTTTTCATGTCTGCTTCAACTTAAAGTTCAATTTCCATGTAAAACTTTGGAGAAAACTTGAAGTTTTACAGATGACATGTAGTGTTGCCGCCGGTGTGAGTTGGAATCAAGTTAACATCGACTCGACTCGGAAATTTACGCAACTCGTGGCAACTGCCCCATGCGGTGTAAACATCGAGTTGCACTGCGAGTTGGTGATTGACATATCGAGAAGACTTTCCCATAAGCTTCCCTGGTATCTTATCAATGTTACTGTAAGTCTCTATAATCTTGCCGACTGTAGCTCGAGTATTTCATGCAATCTTGAGCACTTCTCCAGTGCTTTACACCTCGCCGTTATACCTTGTCAATATGTCTGCCCTACTTACTTCGTCGGTCCATAAAAAATCAAAAAATTTCTACTTTTTTACACATGAGTTTTGTACTACCATGTACATGCCCATAAGTCTCGCACTCATTGTTTTCACACATGGCGCTAATCGTGATTAGGATGCGGAACGAGTATATCCACTCTCATACAAAGTCGCCCTCGACATCTTGCCCATACAGGCTTCCTCCGTGCCGTGCGAGCGAGCCTTCTCATCAAGTGTTCACGATATTGTAGCCATGATGAGTCATGACTGTAGAAATATATAATTCTGTTTCTGCCAAATATAACTATTTATGCGCCAATAAATTTGACTTGCTAAACCAGAAAGAGATAGATCTGAGACCGTTGATTGGTGGATTTAATTCTCGAACAACATCCGAACTCGCTAGTTGCACTGGTGTGTAACTCGATACAACTCGAATCGTTTACTTGTTCGAGTTCGCTAGCACCGCATCACACCGCGTCGACTTGCGGCAACACTAGTGCAACTAGCGAGTTCGGATGTTGTTCGGGAATTAAATCCACCAATCAACGGTCTCAGATCTATCTCTTTCTGGTTTAGCAAGTCAAATTTATTGGCGCATAAATAGTTATATTTGGCAGAAACAGAATTATATATTTCTACAGTCATGACTCATCATGGCTACAATATCGTGAACACTTGATGAGAAGGCTCGCTCGCACGGCACGGAGGAAGCCTGTATGGGCAAGATGTCGAGGGCGACTTTGTATGAGAGTGGATATACTCGTTCCGCATCCTAATCACGATTAGCGCCATGTGTGAAAACAATGAGTGCGAGACTTATGGGCATGTACATGGTAGTACAAAACTCATGTGTAAAAAAGTAGAAATTTTTTGATTTTTTATGGACCGACGAAGTAAGTAGGGCAGACATATTGACAAGGTATAACGGCGAGGTGTAAAGCACTGGAGAAGTGCTCAAGATTGCATGAAATACTCGAGCTACAGTCGGCAAGATTATAGAGACTTACAGTAACATTGATAAGATACCAGGGAAGCTTATGGGAAAGTCTTCTCGATATGTCAATCACCAACTCGCAGTGCAACTCGATGTTTACATCGCATGGGGCAGTTGCCACGAGTTGCGTAAATTTCCGAGTCGAGTCGATGTTAACTCGATTCCAACTCACACCGGCGGCAACACTAAGTTGCACTGGTGTGTAACTTGATACAACTCGAATTGTTTACTTGTTCGAGTTCGCTAGCACCGCATCACACCGCGTCGACTTGTGGCAACACTAATGACATGACATTAAAACTCGATTTAAATGTCAAGCTTTGGCAAAACTTCAAGTTTTCTCCAAAGTTTTATGTAAGAATCAAACTTTAAATTGAAGCAGACATGGAAAATATGATTATATTTATTATATTTGTTGACATATTGTCTGTGGGAATATGGTTGTGAATATTTGATATTTTGGATGACACACAAAACACCACCAAAATTTGAAGTCGTGCACCCATCTTTATGTTAGTTTAAATATCAAATATTGTTTTCACATTTTGTACAACATATAAACCTCTTTTAAATATCGTTCACCCCGATGTGACTGGGGCCTTAGGATTTTGCCGCATTGTGCCGCAATTCTGAGATTTGGTGGCTGTGCACTACCGCACCGCACCAACGCATCCTTCTTACCAAGTATACCTACAGCATTGTCCATGGTGTGCATTGTTCTCAGCAATTCATGCACCCCTGCAGCCTTGACTGGCAATTGGTCTTCATCGCCAGATGGAATCAACCTTACTACCCGCCAGTCAACCACAACGCTGCGGGCGCCTGAAAGACACGGCTACCAACTTGAAAAGCGGCCAAGGATTCGCCAGGAACATCATCAGCGAGGCATTCATCTAGAATGCAAATGCAACTGCCGTAGACACTCCTCCCGAGTTCGACGAGTGGGCTCTCAGCGGTCTGACAAAGGAGAATTGCGTACGTGTGCACCCTCATCATAAGATATATGGACTAACAATCATGCATTCAGGTGCAAAATAAGAGCCTCGCGCGTCAAGGAAAGCGCGAGGTAATTTCATTTCAGGCTGAGCCCGCTCGTTCGCTGACATCGTTGCCTCATATAAATCGATAGATATCACGCACCCAGTCGCAGGCGAGCACAACAGCACGCTCATCCTCGCGCACGTCAAGTACTTCCATGTACCTTCCTTGGCCGTGGCCGTGGTTTGGGCTTTTTGGTATGTTTCTCTTTTTTACTACTTCGGGCTCACTTCCCGCCACCGTGAATATGAAAACGACGCACATCCGGTTCTTCTTCAAATTCTGGTGCATACGGATCTCGGTCACCATGATTCCAGTGCTCTGGGAGACCCTCATATGGGTTCCATCAGTATTGGTGCGTGCCAGCGTCTTTTCCTCGTTGTTCATTCCCTGCAGCACCTGCGGCCAACGAGAGTTCGAACATTCGTATACCAAGGCACTCTAGATCAACGTCTACATCCATCGCGGACAGACCTCTAAACTCATCCTCTCAAAGGCATGTCCGAGAGGCGCATAGTTGATGAGTTCGACGAGTAATCCTGCTAGGTCAATTATCTTGTGTATGCTTACAGTTGTTGTCGGAAATGAGCATTGAATGTATGTTTCGGTGTGATGCGGCAGTGATGCAAAATACCTGAGCCCCCATCTCGGCAATATCCGAAGTACATAAGCACGTGAGCGACTCGAACACCACGCTCCGACTTGGTTTCAATAATGTCCTCAGCTTCTATATCCCCCAACCCAGAATATCTCAGTGGGAGACCGTCTTTGTTGTAAATCTCGATACACACGTCAAAAACTCGGGAGAAATTGATGGCAAAACTAAAGTCAAGGAGGTGAAGTTCTGCGAAGGTCTATTAAAAGTTATTCTCCATGCCTAAATACCTTGACTTCCTCATAACTATGCCTGCGAAGTACGATCAATCAGTCACTTAGAAGAATCGGTGCACTTTGACTGGTACTAAGCTGTAAATGAAGCAGACTTTGTTCCAATTTTCGAACGCCGAATCGACGAATCCGAGTCAGTGTCCTCAAGTTCACTTATCTTCCGCAGCTTCGTCACTGAACATCAGCATTTCCGGGTCTGAAGCTATCTCTGCAATACGGTTCATGAAGATGGCATGTCGTTCCTCATATCGCTCGAGAACGCAATCAGAGATACCCTCGATGTAACCTGCCAGCGTGCGGAGAAGTGTATGTACAGATAGTACGCACTACGACGTACCCGTGATCCGCACTGTAGCTCGTCCAGTGCATGGTGGTATCTTGGCGAAGGATAGCAGTAATGTCATTGATACTGGCTCGGAGGTTGCGACACTCACCACGATGCCCGTGATTTTCATTTCGAGATACAAAGCTGGCAGTCCGAGTCTGCCGTCTTGACACCAAGCAATTGGCGTATACTTGCGACGGAATGTCCCCCCATCAGTGCAAAACAGGTATACGAGCTTTCCAGCCAGAACTCTGACATTCACGACCGGCCTAATACTTTCTAGGCGCTTTAGATTCTAGACCCCTCATCTGGATACTTCCGATGTTCCCAGAACGTAGTGATGTGTGAGTCGAGACTACATAATCAAGTCCTACATATACATGACAATCGACCTAGCAGTTCTAGTGTTACTTGTAGCACTCCTTATGTGCGAGAATCCACCGTAGCGCATGGTCCAAGGAGGTGCAGTCAGGCCCAGGGCTGGTCACGAGTCTAGTATATCAGTGAGGAACAGGGAAGCAATAAAGTAGGTGACGAAAACTAAACGCTAACAAGACGACGAGCAGGTAAGATGAGGACTTGAAAACTCAAACTCGTCTACATACCAAACACGACGATGAGCAGATGAAAAGAGTCAGGGGCCAGGGTGAGATCCTGACTAGTACTATCGCATTTTGAAGTCAGACATAGACAATAATCTCCATCAGATGGGGCAGGGATTTCTCAACATGTACGCGAGCCTAGCGCTCAGATCGGAGTGTGTGTCGTTGGCAACAGACAAGGGAAATTTAAGGAGGTAGGCCTGAACGTAAAAATCTTGAAGCTCGAATGCATTGACCAGTTGTGGAAAGTGGGATCAAACTCGATGAAAGAAGGAAGACAGTCAAAATAAAGAAGCAAGCCAGCACCATCCGCATGACAGTGAAATCTGCAACGCACCTATTTCTGCCACCATGTAGTAGTCGTTGAGATAAATACTTCTGTGACGACAGCTCGAAGTGCCTAGACTTGAGGTGAGGGCACAGAAAAAGACTAAGACGATCAAGCAATGTCACCAGGTAATAGCTTAGTTGCAAGAACACCTAACTATCTACTGGGGCTTTGATAGGTTTTATCTGTAAGGTAGCACGTGAAATAAGTACGTCGCGCGGAACGCGGCTCGAAGTGGAAGACTGTAAGGTATGTTAAAGTGACGAGCAAATCACATGGTATAGTAGGGAGCGCTGTTAGTGGTGTGCAACCGCCACAACTTCGCATCTAGATCAAGAAACAACCCCAAAAACAACTACAGTACGGACCTCCGCACCAGAGCAGTATGAACCACCGAAAGACACAATATGTAGTATAAACAAGCAGTAGCACTCCACCCCTCCATTCTCAAACCCAAATCACTTCTCATCATCACAACAGTGGTCGTCATCACAAAAGAGACTATCGCTATCAGTTGAACTCCCAGACTCTTCTTCATCGGATATTGTTTTCATAAAACAGACATCTACCTCCATGCCTGCTCGCCGCAGATTGGCCTCTGTCGAATCCTGCACACCTTTCAGGACTTTATTGACAGAGGCTGTACGATGACCCAACCACAAGAGTTGCAGTACACCTATGTTTTGGATAGCAGCCTGGGCCTGCCTATCGTGCGATGCATCGAATGCTCGGGTCATATCTAGCGCCAGTCCTAACATGATTACTGATGCAGAGGCCGCGAAAACCAACTATACCATTGTCGATAAATAGTCATCGCTTATATACCACCACGAACTCACAGGAAGAAAGTTGATCTACAACATGCTCCATCAGTCATTCAAAAACATCTGTGCAGTTCACTTACGTTCAGGCGTAGGGCAATGAACATTCCGTTGACATAGGCCTTCCCAATGCCAGTGTGAATTTCTGCACCGATTTGGCCTTTTTGTGTCGCTAAGCATGGGGCACAGAATGAGTAAGGATGATGTGATGCTTAGACGCATTCCTTACCTAGCCATATGAGTTGTGCAGCTGCTTTCGCAACCGCAAATTCTAGCTTATCCAGTCTCAAAGTGAATGTAGGAGGTTGATCGAGTTGGTATTTTAAATATGTCTGTGTGCTCAAGTCTACCAATGACATGATATACCTAGAAGTCAAGCAGTACGTGAGATATGCGGCGGTGCAGTCAAGGAAGTTTGGGGCTTACTCGTCTGTAATAGAAAGTTTAGTGAATTGTGAAGGTGTAATACTAGATGTAATCTCGCTGCTGTCATCGGTAGCCAAAGCACCGCCGATCTGAAATTGACAGTATGTGATTAAACTTTCATAACCCCTCGAAATGAGCGCTATATAACGCACCTGTGCTTGCCAATTCTTCGACAACTCGATTTGATTGATTTTCCATTGCGTGGATGGCTGCGATATAGGTGTAGAACTCAGTAAATTGTTGGTCTGCATGTCGACCTCCGCATCTGTAGTGTTGGCTGACAGAGAGCATTGTATAAAATAGACCTGGTTGACGTAGTCGATGGTATCAGCTGCAAAAGGTTTTGTAATTATGGTTGCACTACAAACAAACAAACAAACAAAATAAACGCACACTCAACTGACCGAGTGATGTTTACAGCGACCTCATCTTGTACTGAAGGGTCGATCTCCAATAATGTGGAGACCATAAGACAAATACCGTTGATCTAGAGCCGATTTATCACTCAGCTTCTACAGTCCACGTAAAGTATCTCCAAAAACACTTACCTCCCAGACAGAGGGACCGGAAGTTTGATTAAATTCTTCCCATGGAATTATATGTATCTGGTCTGGCCCTATAGACATTGTCAGATGATAAAATACCGACTCAACCACAACCACCAACCGAGAGTGCTCGCATGAAGCACAAAAGAATCTGGCCCAGACGGCAAGATCACCTTGTTGGTATTTGCAGAGTATGTCACATTTGGAATCAATGCGCAACTCGAGGTTACCATCGTTGCGTTTACAGTTGCATGTCCTGCTATATCGCTTATTTCGGAAGTGTCGTAGAGCGTAGTGTTGGATAATCCTGCAGACACGAGTCCAGTCAACTGATTGATAAGTTGTAGGGATGGGGTAATTGTTTGCAGTTCCAGGGTGAGAGTGTCGTTGTACAATAAATCGGTTGGCCACCCTAGTGTTGTTGGCACCTGAGTCGTGATAGAAGCATTGAAGGTTTGGAATTGTAGGAGAGTGGAAGACGTGACATGCAGCACGGTTATGCTCGCAAGGTAGGCTGCCACAGCGGAAGTCGCCCATCACGAGGCGGGGACCTCAGTTTGTCGCCAGATGCTGCTGATTGCAGAGCCAAAGCCTGCCCATGCGCCAGAGATGTCATGAACTGCAGTCAGTTTCACACCGTGTACGAGTGTTCTCGATATCGCAAGCCGTTGAGTAAGGAAGAGCAGAACGGCCGTGTATATCTGGATCAAGTCATATCATTTGTATATCGTTAGGATACCGATAGACACTGTGGATACGTACAGTATAGAACGCTTGCAGTGAAGCACTAAGCACCGTAGGCCAGAAATCGTTGTTTGTTGATGTGAAGGAGAAAGTTACACAATGTTCCCAGTGATAGACATAAAAGATAACAAGGACGATGTGAATCACGACCAGCACGCCATGCAGGATGTAACATGCGCGCGGAGCAAACAATCCATTGTGCGTGTTTTTTGAAGCATTGTTCGCTGAGGGGGAATCAGATGTACTAGTTGTCGGCACGCAATGGCAAGGATTCGATCGGCACGATACACAAGTCGTCGGCATACCAAGTGTCAGCGACGCAAGTGCTAGTAGGTGCAGAGGCCTTTGAACAGGTAATAAGGTGAACCACCTGGAGCGACTGCATCGTGGTGAGAGAGTGTGACCTTCGCCCACGTACGCGTTGGCTTCTCTCAGCTTCTATGAAAGATTGATTCAGAAACAATGATTGGTTAGTAGAATATCGTTACACCATCGAAACGTCACTCCAGCTGACCCTGTTCATCGCATAGTACTTTACTTACCGCAAACTTACCGTATATAGTATTCCGCCAATTTCCGAAACGCTATCATTCCGTTTTCTTCAGTCTTCTATTCGGAGGGCACGTCCATTCGCCTCACCTATATTGACTTATTTCAGTCAAATTCTACACTAAGGGTTTGGTGAGGTGTGCAAAACAGAATGTAAGTAATCCCCGTCGGCCATCGATACAATCACATCCCCGGTGATAACGTTGTAGGGTTTCGGCAGTGGTGAGTCGTCTTAACGTACTATATTATATAATACATCAGACTCTGTACCATGTCGTACCAGAGCTCAGAGGAAAACGATGACTCGGACTATATCTGCATTGTTTCCGCCCGAGTCCGTATTATAGCTGAGTATATTTCAATACTCGACCTTGCACGAGAACGACTCCGCATCTAAATCAAGACAATACCAGCAAAAAACAAAAAATCATTGCATGCACAGTCTACGCCAACCTCGACAACCGCTCCCCTGCAGCCCACCAATGCGCCCTCGACGCAGGAATGATAACCCTCCCCATCGAAACCTTCCTCTCCAAATCAAACTTCATATCAAACATCGTGCCTCCAGGAGAAGAAAACGCGTTCGCACAAAAGATTCACAGTACACTCGGCGCCCATTTCGGTTCCGCCCTTCTCCTGCGAGCTTCTGTCGACTGTAACACTGTGAACCCCGAAACGGTGAAACGCATTGGGGGACTGTTTAGTGGGACCCCATCGATGCAGGGATTGTAGGTACTAGGGACACCGCCGCGAGAAGGATGGGATCCCACTTTCTACGCTTGTTCGGAACCAGGAGCACAAGACGTGTTGGAGGATTTTGCTGCGCTGTCCCAGTACAGACTTGAAGTATCGTTGGTGAAAGGCGAAGGTGCTGGAATAGGTGATGCAAATTCTTTGAAGCTCTGCGAGTCTGTGAGTCATTCGTTTTGTGGGAGAGCGGGGCTTAGGGTCGTGGTGGTGACAGATGATAAGAAAGGCTATATAGGCCTCTTCATGACAATGATGCAGAGTGAGTCCTGCTCTCCACCCCAAATTCACACCCCAGCCGCCCACCGCTCTTTACCAGCAACAGCCAACGCCCTAATGAAAGACCTGAGCATCTCCCGAGTCCCAACCAGCTCTAATGCCCAGACTCATCCCAACAGTCTCAGAAGGAATTCCCAAAGCTTACCGATTCGTAGCAAATCAAAATAAAGAAGCAAGCCAGCGCCATCCGCATGATAACGATATCTGTAACGCACCTATTTCTGCCACCATGTAATAGTCGTCATTGAGAGAAATACATTGACAGATGATACCAAAAACAAAACAACCATGATATGGACCGCCGCACCAGAGTAGTATGAACCACGGAAAAACACAACACATAAGCAGCAGCCTTCCACTCCCCTATTTTCAAATCCAAATCATTCCTCATCATCACGACGCTGATCGACATCACGAGTGAGACTTTCGGTGACAATTGAACTCTCTACCTCTCCTTTGTCGGGTATTATATGCGAAAAACAAACATCTATCATGCCTGCTCGACGCAGATTGGCCTCTGTCGGATGTTGCACTTCTTCCAGGACTTCATTGATAGAGGTTGAACGACGACTCAACCATAAGAGTTGTAGTACACCTATGTTTGTGATAGCAGCCCGGACCTGTCTGTCGTGCGATGCATCGAATGCTCGGGTCATATGTAGAGCCAGTCCCAGCATGATCACCGACGCAGACGCCGCGAAAGCCAACTAGAACAATTTTCGATAAATGGTTATCGCATGTATACCACCACGAACTCACCGGAAGAAGGTTGATCTACAATGCTCCATCAGTCATTTGAAAACAGCATTTGTGCAGTTCACTTACATTGAGTTGTAGGGTAGTAGTCATGGAAAATGCGGCTGCTAGGGTGGCATGAGCCAACCCATTGCCAGGGTCAATTCCTCCATTGGCTGTGCCCATTTGTCCCGCTAAGCACGTATCACAGAATGAATAAGAACGAATAATACTTGAATGTATCCCTTACCTAGCCAGATGAGTTGTGCAGCTACTTTCGCAACCGCATATTCTAGTTCATCCGGTGTCAAAGTGAAATTAGTAACCGGAAGAGCACCGTGGGCTCGGAATTGTGTATATTCCTCGGCGAGATTCAAGCCTACCAATGACATGATATACCTAGAGTTCAAGCCGTACGTGAGACATGCGGCAGTGACTCAAGGAGAACTTTTGGCCCACTCGTCCACAATAGAGGGTTCAATGATTTGCGAGCGGGTACGCTCAAACACCATCCCGCTGCTGTAGTTCGTGGCCAAAGCCTTGCTGATCTAAAATTGACAGTATGTCATTGAACTTCCAAAATGAGCGCCGTATAACGTACTTGTGTTTTCCAACTACTAGTATTCGACTGCCCGGATTCAAGTTGATAATCTGAGTACATTTCCCATTGCATAGATGGCTGCGATATGGACGCGGAACTCAGTAGACTGTTGCTCATCGCATCGATCTCCCCATATGAAGTGTTCACCGACAACGAGCAATATACGAAATAGACCTGGATGGTGTATGGAGTGACAATGTTGGGGATAGCTGCAGACCATATTGTTATCATAACTGTATGAAAACTAAGCAAACGTACCCCAAGTCATGTTTACGGCGACCTCGTCTTGTACTGAAGGGTCGATCCCCAATAATGTGGAGATCATAATATAGATACCATCGAGCTAGAGTCAAAATGCTACTCAGCTTCTATAGTGAGCGCGAACTAGCGAACGCTTACCTCCGAGTCTTCCGAGTCACCATCAGAATCTTCGTATTCCGTCCATGGAATTATATGTATCTGGTCAGGCCCTGTAGATATTTTCAGCATGATAAAATATCACCCCAACCACAATTACAAACAAAGACTCGGAATGCTCATATTAAGCATAAAAGAATCTCGTCCAAACGGAAGGATTGCTGTGCTGGTATTTGCAGAGTATGTCACATTTGGAATCAATCCACAACTCGAGGTTACTGTTGTCGCATTCACAGTCACATTTCCTGTCGCATAACCATTTGTAAGGTTGTAGGTAAGGGTGTCATAGAGTGTCGTGTTTGATAATCCTGGAAACACCAGTTCAGCAAGATGATTGATGACTGGTAGGGATGCAGCGATGGGTCCTAGGTTTGTGAAACTGCCGTACGATGAATCGTGTGGCCATCCTAGTGTTGTGGGAAACGGTGAGGTATTATTCATACTGCCTGACCCCCAGGATTAAAATTGTAGGAGAGTGGAAGAGGTGATATGTAACCCGGTTATGCTCGCAAGGTAGATTGCCACAGCAGAGGTTGTCCACCGTGAGGCGGGGATGTCAGTTTGTCGCCAGACGCTAGTGAGTGCAGAGCCAAGGCCCGCCCATGCGCCAGAGATGTCATGAACAGCCGTCAGTTTCACACGGCGTACGAGCGTTCTCGAAATCGCAAGCCGTTGGGTAAGGAAGAGCAGAACAGCAGTGTATATCTGGATCAAGTCATATCATTAGTGTATTGTTGGGATACCAGCGGATATCGTGGACACGTACAGTATAAAACGCCTGCAGTGAAGCACTAAGAATCGCAGACAAGAAATCGCTGTTTTTTGATGTGAAAGACAAAAGGGGATAGTCCAGGACACAAAAGATAAAAAGGACGATGTGGATCATGACCAGCATGCCATGCATGATGTAACATGCGCGTAGAGCAAACAATCCATTGTGCATGTTTTTTGAAGGGGCCTCGGAGTTCCAGTGCGCTGAAGGGGGGGATGTACTAGTTGTCGGCACGCAACAGCCTGAGCAAGTATTCAATCGACAAGATACACAAGTCCCCGACATGCCAAGTGTCAGCGACGCAAGTATGTGCAGATACTAGGTGCAAATGTTAAACAGGTAAGAAGGTGGGCCTCCCATTCGGGGTATGGCAGTAGACATAGACTTTATCCCATCCAACTGCATCATGATCTTCGCCTGTTTTGTTCCACGCATCAGCTTCTCTTGATGACCTTCTATCTATTAGATTGATTCAGAAACAATGATTGGTTGATACAATATCGTTACAGCATCGAAACGTCGATAAAGAACAGGATTCAGGATGTGACTGATATCGATCGAGATGAAGACATAGCCCAAGTACTTTGTTCATTGTTTACTTACCGGTAACCCGTATATGGTATTCCGCTTATTCCCGAAACGTTCCTGGCGTCTATGTCACCGAAAGCCAATATTCAATATTCAAGATCTGAACGACTGCATCTAAATCAAGACAACACAACCAAAATAAAAAATAACCACAGTACGGACCTCCGCAATGTAAACCACGGAACGATGGTTATACGAACCTGGCCATAAATAAGCTCGACAGCCTCACAACTTGAGCCCTCCTCCCAAAAACGACCGCCGAAGATCCCGACCCATCCTCACCATGCCTGCCATCACCGTCATCTCAGCAGGAGCGATGGGCTCCGCAATAGCCAAACGCCTCGTCCAGTCCGGATGCACAGTCTACACCAACCTCGACAACCGCTCCCCCGCAGCCCACCAACGCGCCCTCGACGCAGGGATGATAAACCTCCCCTTCGAAACCCTCCTCTCCAAATCAAACTTCATACTAAGTATCGTGCCTCCAGGAGAAGCATTCGCGTTCGCGCAAAAGATTCGCAATACACTCGGCGCCCATTCTGGTTCCGCCCTTCCCCTGCGCGCTTTTGTCGACTGTAACGCTGTGAACCCCGAAACGGTGAAACGCATCGGGGGACTGTTTAGTGGGACCCCTGTGGGATTCATCGATGCGGGGATCGTAGGGACACCGCCGCGAGAAGGATGGGATCCCACTTTCTACGCCTGTTCGGAACCAGGAACACAAGACGTGTTGGAGGAGTTTGCTGCGTTGTCCCAGTACGGGCTTAAAGTATCGCTGTTGAAAGGCGAAGGTGCTGGGATAGGCGATGCGAGTTCTTTGAAGCTTTGCGAGTCTGTGAGTCGTTCGTTTTTTGTAATACGGAGAGCGGGGCTTAGGGTCGTGGTGGTGACAGATGATGAAGAAAGGCTCTATAGGCCTCTTCATGACGATGATGCTGAGTGAGTCCGGTTTTCCACCCCGAATTCACACCTCATAATCAAAACAACCACTCCAGCCGCCCATCGCTCCTCACCAGCAACAGCCAACGCCCTAATGAAAGAACTCAGCATCTCCCAACCAGCCCTAATGTCCAGACTTATTCAAACAGTCCCAGAAGGAATTCCCAAAGCCTACCGATTCGTAGCAGAGATGGAAGGCCTCGCAGAATTCGTAGGAGGGGGAGAAGCAGATGTCTTTATGGGCTTCGCGAGAGTGTTTGAGAAAGTGGCGGGGTCGCTTCAGGGTGATGGGGTCGACGTCGAGACGTTGAGGAGGGGCGTGGAGCAGGCTTTGGAGTTGCAGGGGACGTCGAAGTAGGCATTGGATTTATCTCCAGTCCAGGAGGGGGTTCATTGAGTGACGGCGTGCTTGGACGATTTTAACTAAAGGACTCATCAATCAATGAGAAGTTTTGCTCAACGTGCGTTCCAAAGTTTGTGGGCGAGGCTACACTCAATCGACCAGTGGGAATCCCGATCACAAACTTGCAGATATCGTACGTCAGACATGCATGCACATAAGTTCAAGATGCGAGATCGATAGAAGAACTGACAGCGGACACTCAGATGTGTTACTAAGCGTTAAGCTGTTTCGAAATTGGAAAAGCAATAAATGAGGATAATGTTGTCAATAGTAAGAGCGTAAGCTAAGTACTTCAAGCTAAGTGGACATAACAACGACACCTGGAGCAAATATCAAGTGAGGATCGAAACGCGTGGATCAAAATAAGTAGGAACCAAAGTAGACGAGACGAAAAATATACCAACCACATATAAAACAGCCTCAAACGTCCTTGAGTTCATAACTATGACCAAATAACATAAACAGAACCATCAACTCAGTTCTCTTGCTCCATCGTCTCTTTCTCGTACTTCTTCTTTAGAGAGCTCACTGTATTCGTCGTTAGTTTAGGAATGAGGACAGGGTGGTGGGGAAAACGCACCTTCTCGTGATAACTGACCCGAATTCAACCATCCACTAGGAAATGCCGCTACAATCTACCACCGCCCAATGAACACTTTCATCATACTAATCAAAACAGAAAACACACCTTCTGATATAAAATCTTTCTCGTCCCCTGTTCGCTAACAAGCGCATTACTCCCGTCTAAGTCACTGTGCGTTCACATCAGCAGCCACTTCCATAACGAAAGAAAAGAACTCGGACTCACTTCTTCTCATTCTCAAGCCTACAACATTCATTACTAAGCATCACAAGCTGCCACACAATCACCTTCATCGCCTCCGTCAACCGATATTTTTGTGCAGGAGGATGTGCGTCACGTGTTCCGTCTGCTTTATTTGTTCCTGGGGCGTTGTCGCCATCTGGGCCTGGTCCTCCACCGTCTGTGCCTGCACCGTCGGCAAGGGATCTGTCGCCGTCGGCACGGGTATTATCACCATCGACACCGCTCACTGTACCATCGTCGGGGTGTGCGGCGTCTACACTTGCACTGGGCGTCGAGGCTGATGCCGCGCCTGCTTCGCTTTCGTTCTTGGCTTTTTCTTTGCGGCGTTCTGTGTGAGGTGTTAATGATGATGTGAGGTATGGAATGCAAGGTGAAAGTGTAGTATACGCGAATAGTATGCAAGACAGACGAGCAAAAGGACAAGACGTTGGACAAGAAAGATGAAGATGACGCACCCCAAGCAACAACACTCTTCTCCCACTCCTCCTGTGCCTTCGAAAACCCCTCTTTCGTAAGCCCCGCAAGCTGTTGAAGCAGTTCGTCCTGTCTATCTGTCAAGATCTTGAGGTGGTCTGTGAATATCGTGCGTTTGATAAGTTTCTGTGGGTCGACCCGTCCAGTGAGCGAGCGCGTTCAAGTGTACGTAAGATGACGTACAGTCATGGTATAGCGGTTATAAGGAAACAGCACTGGCATAAGATTAAAAAAGTCGTCATCGTATTCACCGAGGTTGACGGCTTTCAAGGCAAAGTCTGCGAGTAGGGGTTTGATAGAGGGTGGGAACTTGCCCTTGACGTCCCATGATTCTATGACAACGTGAGGTCATAAGCGGGGGTATGCAGAAGCACGGACCTTTAGCAATGGCAGACTTTAGGTCTTCGATAGCTAATTGGAGCTCAGGATGGAAGTCACGCTGGTGGGAGTGAGTGGATGGGTGTTGGGTGGACTTTAGGGACGTACGATATCGACGACTTTTCTCTTTTTCCCGTTCTCTTCTATGACTGTATAGTTCTTGCGTTTCTTATTGCCCTTGTCTTCGCCTAGTAAACTGATAGGATGTTCCTTTGTCCCATCCTCCTTGATAGCAGCCTTGCTAGGTCCGGCAGCTGCACCTCCCTCAACAGGGACCTTTTTTGATTTAGGTTTCTTGGGGGTTCTGCTGCGGAGAGGAAATGAGGACACAGGACATGTGATCAGACTGGACCATACCTATCTTTCATAAGAGCGACTTCGCCACTAGAGACGTAAAAGCCTTGTTGCTTTGTCTGAGCGAAATGCGTGCGATTATCGATGTTCAACTCTGAGTCATCGATGAAAGGGTCGTTTACGTCGTAATACTCTGAAGTGGCATGTTTTTTCTGGTGCCTTATTCAGTGATGATGTGGGTGATTTATGTTGTGTGATATTTTACCTTTTTCTTTTTCGGCTCGCCGTCATCCTCCCCTTCGGAGTCAGATGTGTCTGCTTTTGGAGGAGGTGGTGTTGGTTGACGTTGACCTGTTGTCTTTGCCAGAGTAGCAATATCGACTTCATAATTATCTGGACCTCCTAGATTTATTTGGAGTCTGATAGTTTGTAGAGGGGGTGGCGGAGGAGGTGGCGGAGTTGGAGAAGGAGAACGGGGACGTTGTGGTTTTGATTTTGGTTTTATTGTAGAAGCGGGTTTTGATGAAGAAGATGATGAAGAAGATTTTAATTTCTTTGAAGGTGGTGGTTGGTCAATTGTATTGTCAGTTTCTTGCATTACTACGTCTTCAGACATGGTGATGGGGAGGTGGGTACGAGGTTGGTGGTTTCCTAAAAAGGAACGTATCCCTCAAGTCCTTTTCTCTCAGCATCATCTTTTTAGAATCCTCAAAGTGCGAAATTCACTCGAACATCGTACATCCACAACTAACATGACAAATCATTTCCCACTCGGCATTTCCCGGTGTTCACTAGCGTCGTGTTCCCTGACTTGACTCCCGCAGGTTGGCTGATTCTTAGCATTTACGTCCAACTTGATCTGCACTGATGTGACTTAGCGCCGTATAATGGACATCAACGAACAGCTTTTACGTCCACCACTTCCAGAGCTAGCTCGTCGTTTGAAATTTGAATAGCCCGGCTAAACCTTCCTCTCGTCGACGTGGTTCCTGTGGCCTGCATATATAGGACCGCTGGGTGTATCGCCAATGGACAAAACGACACAGAATATTTTGATCATTCTGCGGTGCATATCATCAATGCTTACTTCCAAAGTATCCGTCGATAGCAGTTCCATCGCCACCGCACCTCCCTCATACGACACAAGTCCCATCTACAGTCAACCATCAATACAACACGGAGGATATTTGACCCCCATTGTTTTGTAACACAGCCTCAAAGTATTCGACGATGCCAGTTCCATCGCCACCGCACATCCCGCACACTTTTATTAGCGCTCAGAATGAGCATAAGTATAAAGACTTCTTCACATATGGACTCGAACCTACAACTCTCTGGCTTGTCAAACATGGGGCTTATCCGGTTCGTGCCACAGACACTCACAAGCTGCGAACGGTGGGCAATGACTTGGATCAATGTTGCTCGAGCTCGAATGAGGATCGACACACTCACAACCTGCGAATGCTGGGCAACGACTTCGATCACCATGGCTCGAGCTCGAATGAGGATCGACACACTCACAGCCGGCGAACAGTGGCAACGACTGCTTGACATATTGCTGCACTGTGTCACACATATCCTAGGAATACTTACTGACGCTCGAAGAAATGATTATCGTGTATCTCTATAAGGCTACATAGCTGCATATACTGCTGACATGACACAGAAATGAATACTTGACCGGTTTCTCTATACCGACCTAATTTAAACATTCTCCGATACCACGCGTCTGATAAAATGACTTCCGTATGACTTCTACCACAAAAGGAAGCAGTTATACGACACAGGGTTCGAATCTCATGCCTAGAAAACGTGGGTGTCAATCTATTTCTGTAACCTAACAACTGAGCCTCGAGAGCTTGTATCAAAACGCTACACGCGTATGTGATATCGGCAACAAATGCCAAATAAATAGATCAAGCACATCCGTCTTAGATGATGATCAAGCGAAGCGTCAGCCATCATCACATGATAGCTCAACTCATCATGCATTTGCCTTCTCCATATCCTCCCTCTCCTGCCTCCTTGCCTTCTCGTCGTCCCCAGCATTCAACACCTCGGCCTCGCTCTTAACCCGATAAAGCTGCTCAGGGACAGGGTTCTGGAACAACACAAACTTCTTGAAGCCGTAGGGTATCTGCCGCAGGCCGTATGCAGCGTGCGTGCCAAGGGGGACAGAAAAAACTTGATCGAGCTCCTCCAGGGTCTTGTCTTTCGTCTCGCGCACCAATAACAAGACGAGTACCCAGAGGATACAGCACCATGTTGCATACCAGCCGAAGGCACCTTGTGGCCCGAAGGCCAAGATAAGCCAAGGCCAAGTGATTGACAGAACGAAGTTCCAGAACCAAGTGGTTGCGGTGGCAAAGGACATGCCAACATCACGGATATAGAGAGGAAATGCCTCTGCGGAGTACGTGAACGGCACTGGACCTTCGCCTGGAGAATAGAAGATCGCAAAGAGGTCTGAAGGAGCAAATATCAGCGGTAGTTTTAAGTACCAAAAGGATGATGTACATATTCCGATACTGACGCCAGCTGCACGCCCTGTTTCCGAAGTACTCCAGAAGGAGAACCCTGTGATTAAAAGACAGATGGCCATGCAAGGAAATGTGAACAAAAGTAAGTTCCTTCGCCCAAAAGTGTCGATCTAGTGTTTCAACTTTCAATATTTATGGAAACCCCAATTATAAAAAGGACCACTCACAGTGAAGATAGCAGGGAGGGCGAATAACCAATTAAGTGTTCCAAATGCAAAGGAAGAAGTCAATGCCGGAATTTGCGTGAAACCACAAGCCAGGAAGATGTTGGACGAGTAGTAAGCTGCCATCGAGTTAATCATCATTTCAAATCATGAAAACGAATCTCATACCGATGACATTGATACCGCAAAACTGCTGACCGAACATGACGACCCAACTAGCAAGGGCAGCATGCCTGTTACGTGGAATCGCGAACATCTCAACCATACGGTTGCGACCCTCCATATCGTTCTCCGCCTCGAGCAACACGTGAATGTAGTACAAATCACGAGCAGCCTGGACGTGCGAGAAACGAAGTCGACAAAGCTCATTGAAAGCATCCTCGTAGCGACCCTTGGAGATTAACCAACGAGGCGACTCGGGTGCAAATAAGATTTGCAAGCAGACAACAAGACCGGGGACGCCAGCAGAACCTAGCATGAGACGCCAGTTCAGACCAGTCACACCCGGGGCGTCTGGAATGAAGTAGAATACCAAGTCGATAAGATCTCCTAGAGCAATACCGAAAGCGGTCCACATCTGCCACATCATGACGAGAGCGCCACGTATTGGTGCAGGTGAACACTCGGCGGTATACACTGGGACAGTGGTAGATTTGGGACCAATACCAAAGCCAAGGAAGAATCGTGCGATGAAAAGGTGCCACCAGCTGTTTGTCAATGCAGACCAGATACATGTCAAGAACGAGATCATGCAAGTGACAAAAATGGTCTTTTTACGCCCAAGATAGTGGTTGAGCGGTTGCGTCATCCAACAAGAAATTGTGGCACAGCATCTGTGAAGTGATGAGGAGCGATATTCTGCTATACGAACAAAGCACACACAAGTACGGTGCAGAGTTGATGAGACCGACCAACCATGAATCGCGGTCTGCACACACAACCTATTAGTGATGATCATTAGAATGATAGAAGAGCTTTTACGCACTGTTGGAACTACCGATGCCGAACTGTGTGGGATAAAGGATTTGAGCACCATTGATAACAGCCTCGTCCATTCCCTGAACAGCCGCTGCAAGTGATGACATTACGACCATCTATTTCAATGATGAGCCATGGCGAATAGTCGAAAATATAGTGATACCAACGTAGTACAGCATGGGCGTTTGGCGCCACCTGTGCGTAACCTCTTCCTTTAAAATTCGCTTGTCTTCAGCTGAAAATATGTCTAAACGATCATAACCTGCACATGAAGGATCTCAAGTCAGCTAGGAAAATGTTTCCCATGATGACATACAAGTGGAATCCTGGGCAACAAGGGCCCCTTTCTCAAGCTCAGGCAGCAGATGGGTCAGTCCTCTCTCTTCGGCAAAAATTTCGACATCCGCCATTAAACGATCATAAGGTATGCCGCTCAAGGGGTTTGACAATTTGGCATTGGCATTACTAACAGAAAAAATTGCGTCAGTTGTAGGCGCCTGACACAAGGGCGATCTCATACGTACGCGATGGCTCTTGTCCTTGCGTCCATATTTGACCTTTGACGGTGAACATCATGCGGGTTCTTTACTGCGGTATCAGGTTTTTCGTTCGAGGTTGGGGACGTTGGGGACGTCGACATCTCACTCATAGGCGAGCAGCACGGAAAGATAGGAGGGAAGGCAGCCTTACTTCTAGCGGCTGTCACAAACTCGGGATTATAGTGACGCGTTAAGTATAAAGCTATACGTCGTCAGTTGTCCAACACATTCGAGGTGAAGCTTTGAAAGCCACCTGGACACTAAAAAAATGCTGCACCAATGCTGCGACTCTGCGACAATAAAACTTGGACACAGCCTGTGTAGATAATCAACTCAAACGAAATGGCGGTGATATAAGGCGCACGTATACTTATTCTTGAAAGCTTTGAAAGATGTGCAGAAGGGTACAGTCAGCAGCTTGTCATCCGACAGGAGCTGGCAGGAGACATGAGGGTCTGGAAGGGTCCTGGCAATTGCATCATCATAGGAGAGACTCCGGTGGTAGTATGGTACACACCCCAAACACGATGAATGAGATCTTGCATTGTTGAATTTAGATCCTCCTCAGAACTCGATGGGCGTCAGAATAGCGGAAGTCGAGTTTTCATTGCCCAGTACCGTGACGGCACAGAAATCAACGTTCAACCGTGGTCCACCCGACCCTATGCGACATTAATTGAATGCGTAGACTCATTGAGCAAGCACGAAGTTCGGGACCCAAGAAAGAACCAGCTCATTTTGCCACACGTGACTGATGGCAAATACATCTTTCGCATCCTTCCATAAAGCCCCATCATGCATCAGGCCCGAAGGCCTCGGCCTCATGCAGAGTCCAGACAGCCTCAACGCGATCTTGTGGCTTGCTGTTAAAGGCTTGGGCTACCTCGAAACCGACCATCTTACTTCCCTCCCAGGCGTGTGTCAGTGTCCTATTAGTTGAATTCTACTTTTTGCGTGCGTATTCACTCTGATTGATTCGATTTCGCACTCATTCCAAAACCATTTGCAGTAAAATGAGACAGTCGTTGTCCAGGGCAGTAAGACAACAGGACACTTGCGAGTCTGCGGCTCCGTCCCCCCAGTCACTATCGTGGATCAGAGTGTCTCTACAATCTTTCTATAGCCCTTCACGACAGAATTAAGCAGCGAGGCTCCCTGTCTGACATTGGTGAGGCCACTGAGCTCTATCGGGCCGCATCACTCCCCATTCCCACCGGCCATTCTCATCGATCCATTGCTTTCGATAGTCTTGCCGTCAGCCTTCGAGATAGATTTGAGCAGTGATGCATCCCATATGAGCCATTGAACTCCACTGGGTTTCATTATTCCTTCCCCCCTGGTCATCCTGATCGACCCAAGTCTCTCAACAGTTTTGCAACAGCTTTCAAACTAGATTCCAGCAACGAGGAGCCTTGTTTGACCTCAATGAGGCTCTTGAGATCCTTCGGGATACGCTACTCCTGGTGATTTTCTCTAATCCTTATCTCTCAAAAATTTTGCCAACAGCCTGCGCGAGAGATTCAAGCACCGGGGTGACCCGTCTGACCTCGATGAGGCCATTGAACTTCATTGGGATGCATTACTTCACTTTCTCCCTACTCACTCCTATTTATCCTCGTTTATGAACAATCTTACCGACAGCCTTTGAGACAGATTACAGCAGTGGGGTGTCCTATCTGACCTCAATGAATCCATTGAGCTCCATCAGGCTGCATCACTCCTCCACCCTCTGGTTTAGTATGATCGATCCATGTATTTTGACAATCTTGCTCTTAGCCTTCGAGACAGATTCCAGCAGCAGGGTGCTGCTCCTGATCTGGATGGGGACATTGAGCACCATCGAACTGCGTTGCACCTATACTCTCCAGTCATTTTGGTAGGTCCACGTCTCAACACTTACCATTAGCCTTGGAGCCAGATTACAGGTGTCCAATCTGACTGAGATGAGATCATCAAGCTCCATCAAGCTGCACTACTACGTCTTCCCGGTCAGCCTGATCGATCCATGTCTTTCAATAATCTTTCTGCCAGCTTTAGAGACAGACCTCCGCAACAGTACGTCCTGTCTGACATCGATGAGCTTGGCGGTGCTGCACTACTTCTCCGTCCCCTCGGTCATTCTGATTGGTGTGTCTCTCGACAATCTTGCCATCGATCTTCAAACTAGATTCCAGATGCGGGACGTCCCGTCTGACCTGGATGAGATGTTCAGGATTTATCTGCAACTTCTTTGAAGATTCTGGACCCACATGTTACTCTTTTGTCGCCGTCTTCTTCATGCTACTTTGACGTCCTCGGAGAGATCACTTCCTCCCTGTCATGGATGCTTTTTCATGCAATATTCGTCACGATTTTCTCACGACTACCGTGGAACTGGTCGAGCAAGGCCGTGGTGTATTTTAGACCCAGTTAGCACACCTTCGCACCCCACTATGAACTACCCATGTCAGGTGATGCTGGTGCAGCCTTAGCGAATGAGATTACACAGCCCAGCTTTGACCTTTGTAACGCCTATGATGTCGTCTCACGATCTGCATGCTCCCCCATTTTTCTCAGCTTCTACCTCCACCATTTTCAGACCTTAGAGGGCAGCTGAAGGAGGTCCAGCTATCATCGTCAATGCTAATCAGTGCAACTGTAATGCCTTAATCATCTTGTGGACCTGAGATCCTGTCCATGTTCCTCTCGATATCACACAGGCCAAAATCTCTGAGTTGTCCTTCAAGTTCCAGTCCATCGTAAAGCAATTTGGTTCATCTGATCATCAAAATGAGCTTGTCAACATTCTTTGCAAGCTTTGGGACCATATTGTCGACCCCATGGTCCAAGCCTTTATGAGTCAAAAGTTGGCCATAACTCGCGTATCTGATGGTTGTCCCGCTGCTGAGTTCACACTGCTTCCTCTACATGCCGCAGGGACCCTACGAGAAAAAGAGAAACCTCAAATTTACTTTTCCTCTTACACCCCGACATTGGTGAATCTCATTCGTGCGAGACAGCAGGTGTCATTGGGTGAGAATGGGTCAGGAAATGTATAGTTTCATATCTATCCCCTCTGCATCCTAACATCTTACACATTTCATTCCAGTCTACCTTCCTCCAATCCATTGCCAAGTACAGCCAACACAGACCGCAGGGCTGTAGCATGTCAAATCTCAGGGAAAGAGCACAGATGAAGAAGGATTAGGTGAGGGCGGTGAGGGAAATGCACAGGAAGACGGGAATGGTGGGGGAGAAGGAAAAGCTGGGGGTGGTGAAGAGATGTGGAGAAGACGGCATCATTGTAGGCTTTGTGGGAGGGTTGTGTGTGCTGAGTGTTCTGGATGGGTAAGTCTTACATATCATTCAGTTGTGCTTTGCTGTTCTCTGTTATTCATTCGACTTTCTCGCTACTGTTGATCCTTTGGCTCTCTCAGCCTCTCACACCACAAACTAACACTCCCAAACCCAGACATTCTACAGCATCGCCTGCTCTCTTGTCTCCAAATGTTGGCACATCCTCGCAACCGATAGTGCATGTTTTGTTTGTTGAATATCTCACACATCTCTGATGCCCAGTCTCCACCATATAGTTCTCTAGCTCTTTTCACGCACATTGCCAACATCCCAAATGTCGACCCCACACAATGCATGCAGCACTGATGTGCCTCATCCTCATCCTCACATTCCTTGTCTTCTCACACACGGGATCTCTCTTAGTTCAGCAGATATTTCCCTCATGAGCGACTCTCGTCAGCAGCAGCATCCCCAACAGCCCTCCACACCTGACCTGTTCCCAGTCCCTCAGGTCCCTTTCCATTCCACGCATGCCCAGGGAAAGCACCGCTAACTCGGTTGCCACCTATGCATTGGTCTCCCAACCGACGACGGTTTCTTCTTGCCATGCCAAAGCCTTGGACTTGATGGTGCTTCTCCACTGTTCAGCCCAACACCCAAATCACTTTGGGGCAGCACTGGAAAGGGTAAGAAGCCTGTCTTCTCCCCTATCCACCTCCGCACGCCATCCTTGAAAACGTCTCCCCTACGATCTGGACTTAGTTTGCGCCCATTCCTTGATGGATACAAAGGAAGGGCGTGCGGTTCCTTTTTTCTGTGGGGTGTTATTTTTGGGATGGAAAGACAAGGAGGGGGCATACAATTTCACTTTTGACAAATTTGTATGGGCGGTCTACAAATTCTTCCATTTTTGCTTTCCAGATTGCGTTGTTGCGCTTGAAAGATGCGCCAGAGGGGAGGTGTTTTACTAGGTGTCTACTTCATAGCACCATGATCAAACACGTCTAGGTCTGCTCGTCCGCTCCATACGAATGGTGTTTTAATGCTGACACCTGTCATAGCTTTCTTAATCCGCTGTCTGCTTCCCCAGTCTTTTTTCTTCTTCCGCTTTTTGCGGCGGCTCCTTTGCCTCTCGCCTTCTGACTCTGGCTCTGACTCTGTCTCTGTCAAGGATGAGCTGTTGCCATCATAGGATTTGCTGGGAGACGATGGCAGCGTCGTCTCATGCTCTGCGCTTCCCTGGTGGGTAGCACTCCGGAAGTAACCTCCTCCTGGCAATTCTGACGTCCAGCTCTCACGCACAGAGGGTTTATTGACGGCGGCTTTCAAATGCTCTCCTTTGAAGTCCCTTTTTTTATGGGACTTGAGGCCATTTCATACCACCCAGGTTTCTTATTGCTATGAATTCTGGGCCACGTTCCCAAGGATCAGTTCCTTTCCCTTTTCCTCACTGCTCCCTGCTGGCTTCCTCGTCAGGTATTTCTACTGCAACCGCCATAGTTGGCACCACCACCCAAGGCTGCATAATCTTTTGACTTGATTCCCCCAGCCTCTGGTTTAGTAGGGATAGCGCTACTGCTTCAGCCATCCCCTGTCCGTTCCATGCTAACTCCTCATTCCTGTCGCTGACTGACTCCTTGGTGCTGGTGTTGGACAAAGAATGACAAAGGCTATGATGCATAAAGGCTGAAAGTATAGTAATGAGTGAGCTATTGGTGTATCAAAGGTTGCGAATGAGTGTTAGATAATGTGATCATGAGATGGCTACATGGGCCTTGCATAGAGGCAGACTACCGTTCACCCTGATAAGTACCTAAAACATCAATTCTTTCTTTAATCAGTAACATGCAAGCTTCAAGCTCATTAACCTCTTCCTTCTGTTGGCCTGGGTCCACCAGTGAAGGTACAACAATTCAGATGGTGAGTCTGAACAATGTTGGGTCTTGCAGAACCTAGCTGCTATTTGACCCTAAAGGGTTTCTGGACTAGGCTTAAGGCTCAGAGGAGAGGAAATATCATGAAAACTTGCTGAGTACTCTGACTCATACTGATAACTGGTGAAAGATAACTTGCTTATGTAAGCTACAAAAGTGCTAACATAAGGTAAGGTAAAAACAGTCTCTACAAGCCCAGCCAGAAATGAATCCCTACACCGGCTCAGATACCAGTTTGGTGATCCAGTCATAAGGGGAGGGGCCTGGTGCAACACATTCTGCATCAGTGTTGGACTAGAATGGCTTGGAAGTCAGAAACAAAGTTCAAATGAAGAAAATCAGATCATTTCACTTCTCCCAGAACTTGTTTTGAAAATTTTCCAATTAAATTGCATGCCCCACGGAGCTGGGAACGTCTGAGTAGCTCCTTAGGTCTCAATTCCAATCTGTGTGGAAAGTCACTCACACTGCTGCAGGGATTCATTTCTGGCTGGGCTTGTAGAGACTGTTTTTACCTTACCTTATGCTGGCACTTTTGTAGCTTACATAAGCAAGTTATCTTTTCACCAGTTACCAGTATGAGTCAGAGTACTCAGCAAGTTTTCATGATATTTCCTCTCCTCTGAGCCTTGAGCCTGGTCCAGAAACCCTTTAGGGTCAAATAGCAGCTAGGTTCTGCAAGACCCAACATTGTTCAGACTCACCATCTGAATTGTTGTACCTTCACCACATTGCAGATGGAATCAAGGAGCTTCTGGGTTTCCCTGCGAGCGTTCTGCTCTTTTTGAAGTTCTTCGCGGGGTCTTTGGATTTCTGCTTGTAAGGAAGACATTTTGGCCTCTTTTTCCTGCAACATAGTTTGGATCTTGGATACTATTCCTTAGCTGAGCATGGATGGGTAGGACATTGAGATCAGAACCTCTTGTTGGTACACCTCTAAGGAATATCTAGCGGCATGGTAACCCTTGCATGGAAAATCAGTCCAGATGGTAGGCAGAAGGGAGCAATGAAAACACTGAACCCCTATGCCCACCATGATATAAGCTTGAGCCTGAGCAAGAAACTGAGTGAGAAAGGAGGAAGAGGGTAACTTAGAAGTTAGTCTATGGTTTGAGCAAATTCCCAACAAGATTAATATTATTGTAACAATTATAATATTTGCTTCCACATGATAAATAGTTGGCCCCAGTGCTCTTGACCTCAACCACGGCTGTGCACCAGGATCCCCAATCTAAGCACAATTGCTGGTAGTGTTGCGCTGGGAAGCTCTTTTTTTATCACGCTAATCCTCCTCACAAGTCGCAGATGCGACAACTCAATGACTCGTTATCAATCCACGCAGCAGTTTTGCTAGTAGTTGGCCGTTTTCAGGGCTGAATCCTGAGGTTATACTGCAATGTCCTGCTCAGCTCAAAGAGCTTATTGACCTCTGAGGTTCAATGTGTCATCCTGCTATTCGTCACCAAGGTTCAGAGCGAAGTTTATTTCATCCCGAACCTCAACTGCCTCCTCCGCCTGTTTGCGCCCTAAATGCAGCGAGGAGCAAGCTGCAATGGCGGTGAGCAATCCATGCCTTTTGCTCCTATCTTCCTACCATTTCAAATGTTCTGTGTATATTTGAAAAACACAGAGAAGAAAATTAACATTATTTTAAACTGTTATTTCAAAGACAATAGATGGAAAATACAGCATTATCCTTGAAGGAACATGATTAATTTTTGCATCATGTCCCAAACACAGAACATCATTGAAACATGAATTACTTTTTTTCAATGTTTTGACAGGAAAAATGAGGGGAAAATTCTATCTTCTCAATCAATGTTTTTTAGATGTTTGGTGGAGGAACATGGGAAAATGCCTGCAGTGATAGCAGAGTTCTAAGGACATGTGTTCATCTGCCGTGGTGGTGATCAAGTGAGCATTGATGAAATATCTTCAGGTGGTGTGCTTGTCCCACCAAAAATGAAAACAGAGACAGCAAGATCTGTTAGGAGAGAGATCAGTGTGGCTGGGATTCAAAAGGAGACCATAGGAGACACAGAGATCGAACAATTGGAAAGCGGGTGGCACTCAGCTGGAGCATGCACATGGGGTAGATGTGAATTGGTTCTGCAGGATCAAACACTCCATGCTTATATATATTAGAAAGAATGCGGATCACATTAATCGTAATAGATGAGTTTGATGTAACATATTTGAACATCCTTTCCAGAATTTCCATCCTTACTAGATCTGCAGTGAGAAATCTAAATCATAAGATAACCAACATTGTACATATACACTTAGTACAACGCCAGCAGATGCTGTATGTAAAGGAGCAGCTGTCTTTATTCTTATGGGGTCTGCGACTAGTAGCACAACTAGCACCTAACAGATGTGACAGGTAGCACCAGTTCCTATGAGCTAATGATCAAAACTTCAGCTGTCCAGCGAGTTCACCAGCATATGCGCATCCCATATGAACTCGTAAAATGGTGTTCGGATCAGTTGGATCGTGCTTTCCATGTTTGGATTGGCATGTCCACTCGACGTTCTGACCCCACAGATCAAAGAATCTTTGAATTTTCTCTTGCTGCCCGGATGCGAGCAAGTATTCATACACCGCGCGCCATGCGCTGTCCAATGCACCGACGATCCACCTGCAAGTTACATTGATTTTACGTTGTAATCATCAAGACGACCCAACCGCTTTTCACTCACGCATGACGGGTGCTGATGGCCTCTCCAGCGAAATGGAGCCTCTTGTTGGCATTTGGCACGGTGAGAGCCGTGTATAAATCACAAAAATCCCCGGGCCCAAAGGATGCAAAGGCACCTGGGGCAGAGTGAGTGAGATCTAATTGGCTCACATCAATATTCAGAGACTCACCCGCGGTGAGCGGGTTGTCGCCCCAGTTCCATGCATGCATGTCTACGTATTGATCCAACAAGAAACTATAATCCACGTTGTGCACTTCTGCGAGATTGCGCAGCACGAGTTCCTTTAATTGTTCCTCGTACTCTATCTGACCGGTGTTGATGAGCGCTCCCAAGCGTTCTGCATCATTCTCCCAACAGTAACTCGCAAGTAGCACTGTGGACGGCGTGCTAGATTCAGCACCGTGAGAGGGGTAGATAATACTTCGGATGGGAAGGTCTGTGGATGATTGGCCTCCTATAATATCGAAAAGTTCGGTCCACCACGCCGATCGAAAGCGCATGGCGACCTTGACCGAAGTATCGTATTGCAATTTACGCAACGCATTTTTCTGCATCACGTTTAAACCAGCACCTCCGAGTTCAATCAGCCGCAGGCCCGGCAGAGGGATAGTCGATATAACATGTGAGTATGTGCGCGGGCTACATTCGCCACGCACAGAAACATTCATTGCGAGGTCTCCACTTTGAGAGATGCTCGTGACCTTCTTATTGAACTGGATGAGAGACTCGGTGCCGTTACCAGTAAGGTATGTCTCCATGTAATTGATGAGAATTTGAGAACCGCCTCTGTGTACGGTAATGGCATGTGTGAGGTTGTGCATGAGTTCCAATACAGAAATACGCTTACTTGAAACACTTCCATTCTACCTGTCCAAAGGTCTGCGACTCGACACCGTTAAATGCCAGCGAATCAACAACCCATTCAGTTAAGGCTGCCTCAAACGATCCCGTGCTGCTATTGAGTAATTCGCACCAATTGATAGTATTGGTGGAAAGAGACGTGCGCGGAATTTGGAGGCTGATGGTGGGAGTGTACTTGAATGACATGAACGAGCGAAGGGAGTATGCATCGTGCTCCCTCAAGTTTTTCCAGCCCGAATCGACATTTTGCTCCAAGTCTTTGATGAGGTCCTTAGCGAATGGACTAATGACGTCCTTGACAATATTCTCAGCTCCTGCGGCAATGTACTGAGGATCCACACCCAATTCCTGGGCATGAAAGTCAGGAGGGTGCGATGTCTGAGAGACTCGATAACGTTGATTGTTAAAGTAGAGGAAATGACCTTGTCTCTTTGACGTCATATGATAATCGATAAGGAGAGAGTTTAAAGGTGCCCTGCATGAACCCCAAGTAAATGGCCTACGGTTTACAGTTGTCGACGGAGGAGCTGACTCAATAGCGTCGATGTTGTTGAGCTTTGAGTAGTTGATTAACTCCCCCAAGCGCCTCATGATGCCCATCTTGTAATGGCCTTGAGCGTCCTTCTTCGGCAGGGGGAATCTCATGGCGCCAACATCCTAGTTAGCGGGAACGCCAAAAGTTTACATGGTCAGCATCTTTGGCGCAGCAGCGTCGAATGAACAACATACGCAGTAGTCGTATTCGCCACCATTTGGGAAGTCGTAGGTATGGAGGCGTCCACCGGTGCGGTCCGACGCCTCCAAGATCTCATACTTGATGTCCAGCGAATCTAGGATGAGGGCGGTGTATAGACCACCAACTCCTGCGCCTAGAATTCCAACTGTGGCCGGTGGGCCATAACCATGTTTGGATAGTGCAGGTAGCTGCGAAGTCTCTTCAAAAACAGTCGGGGCGAGGGAAATGTTTTGAAGGAGAGCGCCATTATAATCTTCGATGATGTTTCGACCCCAGTAAGCAAACACATCTCCTTGGAAATCCATCATAGTAAGCGCAACGGGGATTGAAGATTGAATGTGTTGAGTACATATACCTTGTATAGTAGGAACAGAGCAGAAATGACCCCATATATCTTTCATTCGGAGAGTGAGAAGAATTAGCCCGTTCTGCACGGCGCAATCAACATCT